AAGTTATAAAAAACATCGTTAAAATAGTCCGAGTGACTACAGTGGCTCAATCTTAAATTTATCAAGCGACGAGAATACTTTTTGTGTGCAAAAAACAAACAAAAATAACGACTTTATTCAACTATTCATTTCCTTCTCTGTTGGCCTCGAGATTTCACGTAGTGAAACTGCGCAAAGCTTCTGTGTTGTACGTCACACGTAGGCTCACTATTGGCCGACGCTGGTCATGTGTGTGATGCGTGACGTACAACCTAGAAGCTTTGCGTAGTTTCACTATGTGAAATCTCGAGGCCCACAGAGAAGGAAATGAATAGTTGAATAAAGTCGTTATTTTTGTTTGTTTTTTGCACACAAAAAGTATTCTCGTCGCTTGATAAACTTAAGATTGAGCCACTGTAGTTACTCGGACTATTTTAACGATGTCTTTCATAACTTTTGGGCCAGCCAGTTTCGATCCCTAAAGAAGCCTATGGAGGAGTGAGCCAGCTCTCAGATTTAATAAAAAATATCTTAATTTGTGTTCCGAAGATGAACGAAAGTCTTACGGGGATGGAACAACATGAGGGTGAGTCATTACTGACAGAATTTTCATTTTTGGGTGAACTATCCCTTTAAGGCTTTATGGTTAATGTTTTCAAAACACTTACGTGCAGCAGCGAGGGGGCGTTGATAGTGTTTCCTATGCAGTGACGTTAGCCAATTTATAACAGTGACCGTTTACTGACCAGCCTTAAAGGAGCCGCCCCTCAAAAATAGATTTTCTTTTGTGAAAAAAACTTAATTAACATTTTAAGTGAACCTTAAGGAACAAAAATTCCATGTCATGACACCTTTGAAAGTCTCTTATTCTCACCTAGGCTGCATTTATTTGATAACAAATAAAAACTATAATATTGGGAAATATTGTTAGCATTTAAAAAAACTGATTTCTCTTTAAATATATTTAAAATGTAATTTATTCCTTTGATGTCAAAGCTGAATTTTAATCATCATTACTCCAGTCTTCAGTGTCACATGATCCTTCAGAAATCATTCTAATATGATGATTTGCTGCTCAAAAAACATTTATCATCATTACCAATGTTGAAAACAGTTGTCCTGCTTAATAGAGTATTTTTGTGGAAACCATGATTTATTCTTTGATGAACAGAAAGTTCAAACAGCATTTATTTGAAATAACAATTGTTTATTTACATTGTAAATATCTTTACTGTCACTTTTGATCAACTTGATGCATCCTTGCTGAATAAAGGTATTTATTAAAAAAAATCTTACTGACCCCAAACCTTTGAACAGTACTATATGATTTAATAATTTACCATTATTAATAAGACTTTAAATCGATTACAATCTTTAATCAGGATTTTTTTTTTACTTATTGTTTTTTGTTTTATTTTAATTTCATTCAATGTATTTAACCATATGCATGTATGCATTCATTTTGACAGCCTTAATTATTAATAATAATCCATTTCAAATTCTACAGAATCAAATCCATATAGAATCAATGGGGGGGATCACAATAGATTTTTTAAATAATTGTTTGAAAATCAATTTTTCCATGACCAGATCCCTCACACACCTTACTTACTAACATGTACTCACAGACACACTTTGGGCTGCGGTCACTCCATTTGGGCATGCCGGTGTCTCTGCCATGGCAGGAGATCTGGCTCGGGCCTTCCAGCTGATAACCTTGGTTACATGTGAAGCGTACCACAGTTCCCACAGCAAAACCAGATTCTGGATGTACTGAGCGTGCTCCATTGACCACTTCTCCTGGGTCAGGACACTGCTGGACTGGAGGCACATCAAAGCCAGGAGAAAAAGAGCGTGTGTACAATATTAATCAATTAATTAATTATCCTTACTATTAAGTATTTCAAAGTGTTTTCTAGTCATAAAATATATATATATATAACTCGGCTCACTTTTCACACAGGTGGGCGGGTTGTTGCTCCAGGAGAGATCCCATTGGCAGGTGATGATGTCAGAGCCAACGATGTCATAACCAGGCTGACACTGATAGGTTAACACACTGCCTCTCACCAGAGATGGGTGGGAGGAGCTGCTCCAGCCAAACTCAATTTGCGGAAGGGCAGGACATGTGTCATTTGGTTCCACCTCTGCAAGAAATGAAAGGAAGTGACATCACAGCAAGCAGTAACACAAAACAAATGAAAAAGGCACAACCCTTTTGATGTATTTACCTCTGTAGTGAATGAGGAAGCCTTGGCTCAGTATAAACGTAGAGTCATCGGGATCGCTCTGAAACTGAATGGTGACCTCTGAACCTCCTGATACAACCCTGAACCTCTCTCTTGAGCCCAAGTACTGTCCAATCACATGTGACATCAGATCATGACCATCAAATAGAGTGAGAATGTCATTATGGCGGATGTTTAAACTGCAAGCAAAAGAGAGGGAAATAGAATTAAACCATAAATAGATTTAAACACAAACTGGCACAATCAAATAGATATACTTACATTTGTACATCCAATTCGATGCGTTTGTCCTCGCTGACATGTATTTGCCACACACAGTCCTGCCCTTTAGAGTAGCTCTGTGGCCAGTCAGGAGACAACACTGTTCCCACTGTGTCCGTGAGCTCCCCGCCACACAGAGCTGAGAAGAGGAGAAAGAGGAGCAATCTTATTAGAATAGCTTTCATATTATTGGGCCAGAGGGATTAGATGAGATGAAGCCCCCTTGAAGCCCCATTAGGTAAAATCTGAGACTGTTTTGAAATTTTCTAAATGTACTTAGAATGATCTTTGAGTTAGAATCACTTTAATGTTACAAGGATTATTTTCTTCGTAATTGTATTAATCAGTGAGTTAAGTTGACAGTTCTAATGATGATCAACAGATCATTGTGCAATTTGTTTTTGAAAGAAGGTTATTTTGTCACCAAGGTTACATTTACTTGATCAGAAATACAGTAAAAGTAATATTGTGAAATATTATTACAATTTATATTTTTGAAATGTAATTTCCTGTGATGACAAAGCTGAATTTTCAGCATCATTACAGTCTTCAGTGTCACATGATCCTTCAGAAATCAGTCTAATATGCTTGGTGCACAAGAAACATTTCTTATTAACATCATCAATGCTGAAAACAGTTGTGCTACTTAATACTATGGTGGAAATCATAATGCATTTTTCAGGATTCTTTGATGAATAAAAAGTTAAAAAGAACAGCTATTATTTGAATGAGAATTATTTGATGACAACGTAAAAGTCTTTACTGTCACTTTTGATAAATTTAATGCTTCCTTGTTGAATAAAAGTATTCATTTCATTTTTTTTTTAACTAAAACATGTAATCTTACTTACCCCAAACTTTTGAATGGTAGTGTACAGTTGCTGTACAGGTATATGTGTCAAATATTAGGTTATATGTGATGTCATACCTCTGCAGACAGGTTCACTCTCGTTCCAGTGAGGGTCATTGGGGTCAACACACTCCATAACTCCTGATCCCTGCTCCATGACGAAACCAGGAGAGCACGAGAAGGTTACTATAGTACCCAGAGGGAAGGTGATGTCGCTGCTGCTGAAATTCCCATGAGGCAGGTAAGGTTCATAACAGTGTTCCCCATCAAAGGCTGAAAGAGATAGGAAGAAGAGGAAGGATGGGAAGTTAAGTGAGAGTGAAAGTATTTGTAGAACCCAGACTTGAAGGTACAAAATTGTAATTTTGAGTTTCTTCTTTTTCCTGAAATTAGTGTGACATCACAATAAGCAACTGCATTCGGCATTATATAAATGCCGAATGCAGTTATATATTTATATAATTCTATATTAAGAATTATATAAATGTAAAAAGGTTTTTGTGTTAATGAAAATGATCAAGTTAATACGGGTTTATATGGCTTATAGTGATGAAATATACTTAGGCTGCGTTTACACTGGCACAAAAAATCTGATTTTTTACTCACATCTGACACAGATCGGAATTTGTTGCACACGTGTAACCGAAAAAATCCGCACGAGATCCGATTTTTCCGCATCCGATCTGAACCACTTCCAAATGTGGTTTTAAATCAGATACATATCCGATATCTAGGCATCCAACTTACGTCTAAACACGCATATCCGACTCCCCTTTGAACTACAACCCACAACAAGGCGAGGACGACACATTTATTCACAAAGATAGCTTTTTAATGTAGAATAATTAATGAGGCAGACGTGCTGTTATGCGCTCGCTCACAGCTTTTTATTGAGGTGGGAACGTTATTTTTGGAAAGAAAAGGCATTGCGCAAACACAGAAACATTCAGGAGCTGGTTTTCAACCTCTGCCCGTGACTTTTATCAATAAAACAGCTTCACTACTGAAAGCTAAATTATATTTCTCAGCAAGGAGGTGATAACTTCGCTCGCTGTTATTAAACCAACAAGCTTCACTATTAGGTTACTCACTCGCGCGGGCACTCTCTCTGGTTAATTCACTCAAATTCATAAAAAAATATTACAGGGCTACTTTATTTCACTTCAGAATTCTAGATTTGAGCTGTATATAAACGAAAATGATTTCTGGACTATATCTGTTCCGTCAGATTTTGCACTGCAAAACATTCCTGAGTCATGACAGCTGTTATATTGTCCATGCTGGCAAATAATCATGACCACTCGACATGAATTATATAAATAATTTTAATAGCACAGCCATACAAAACCAGGGTCTACCATGTGCATAGTAAAATGATCACTGAAAATCAATTTGGGCGGGAATTAATGTAAACACAGACATTGGATACCAGTCCTGTCTATAGTGAATGTAAACAGGCGAGCCAAAAATTCGGATACGGTCAAAAGATCGGATCTGTGCATTAAGACTTGCAGCCTTAGACTCTTTTTTTAACAGTGAACAAAGCTATTTTGTTGAATGTTAAACAGGTTGTCTTACCCTCATAGCGGAGTGCCAGCAGCAGTGGGATGGAGGAGGAATCTGCTGTGAGCTCCACATAGAGACACATTCCCTCGCTCACGAAGCCTCGTTCTGGAACGTCATCCAGATCCGAGTCGAAGAGGAGCGGAGCTGTAGAGCTATTCCCACTGCGCACAATCAGCCTAGGAAAGGGAGGAGGGGCGTGGAAAAGGAACGAAAACTACATTAGGAAAGGTGTGTAAGGCCGTCTAATTTGATCCAATGGCGGCATTCAAATTAGCGGTGAAGGTCTCACGCGTGTTCCGTCTCGTCCCATCATGGCAAAGGGATTTTCAATTAAATGCAATACATTTTATCTTATGTATTAACTCGTTTCATCTGACTCCATAAAATGAAAAAGTTTTTCAATGATATCTGTGCATCATTAAATATACGTTAATGTTTGACTATTCCTTTTAACTCCAATGGAAATGAAGTCAAAGTCTGTTAGGATAATCAAATATAACAATTTATTATGTCAGGTAAAAGTATTATGCCAATTTCATAATCAGTTCAAAGATCATCAATAAAAAACATCAAATGCTTTAGGATAAGAGAAATAGATGCAAACCCAACATTTAAGAACTACATGAGCTAACCTCACGGGCTGATCTGAGATACAGAAAGAGCCACGATTCCTTGCTGCATTCCATTAAATAGCCAGAACTTCTTTTCAATCGTAATTTGCATTCAGAGGTTACACCTCTTGGGAAGAGGAGGAAGACATTGCCTATCTTCCTTTGTGCCAGGATCTCTAAACTTCTAAAAAACCTTATTACCTTTTGTTTTACTCTTTTGGAATGAGACATCTGAACCACTTACTCTGGGACATTTAAAATGATACTAAACACAATAATCATTCACATTAAACCATATATATATTCTTATGTGAGTTTTAGCTGTTACTGGGTGAGAGAATGAAATGTAAATCAGGTGAGACTGCGTGAGGGGGAGGTCGAATGCTAATTTTCAGCAAGTTCCTTTGTTTCAATAGACCATGTGGTCAGGACAGTTTCTCCAACCAGTTTTACAGTCTTACAGGTGTGACATTAAGAGAATGAAATGATTCTGGAAGAATCAAGATCATGGCAGGTTGTGCAGGAAGAAGAGGTAGATCTCGGATGTTCGTTTATCAGCAGCAAACTAGAATGTTAAAAATAGTCTAGAATGTAAAAACAGGTTTAAAATAGTGTGCTCATTTAAATGAACTGGTTCAAACAAGATTCAATGATTCACTGATTCTTTTGAATAAACTCCCTCCACAGCATTCCAGTCAACTTTTTTGTAAGGATATAAAAATTTAGACAATAATACTGCCATTTACCATTATGTTTTCAATTCAGTAATATACACTACCATTCAAAAGGGAATTTGGAATTTGTAAAGATTTTTTTCATGTTTTTGAAAGAAGACTACTTTGAATCATAAGTAGTTTTAAAGTGGCTTCTCCAACACTAATAGAGATATAAGATAGGTAACTTAATACATGAGTGAGCAAGACATGAACTCTTACTTGTCATTGTCTTCATCAAGAGCCACCCTCTCAAAATGAAGGTGGAGCCTGTGGCCTTCCTTGGCTTCCAGCAGCCAATGACAGCTCAGGTTGCTACCGCTGCTATGGTTACTTGCAGAGGGGAGGGTTGGAGAGAGGATGCGGCCAACAGTAGCATTTCTAATCCATCCTCCACAAGATACAGCTTTAATATACAAAAACACATGTGAATGCTTATACACAAGGCAATAAATGGAGGTGTCTTGAAGCCACTGTAGATAATGAAACAAAATAAATAAGTAAATAACTGAATGGGGAACAAATGCAACCCACCCACACACTGGGGTTCTGAGGTGCTCCATCTGGGTCGGGTGGAGTTCAAACAGGTTGCAACCTCGTGACCTCTGACCTCAAATCCTGGATCACAATGGAAGTGAGCCTGACCACCAGGATGGATGTCAGTTACAGTCACTCCACCGGCCTCAGGGGAGAGGGGGAACGAGCAGGACAGGAGGAACGCTGGAATGGATGTTTAAAAGAATAAAACAATTCTGTCATTCCTGTCATGTCAAAACAGACAAATTACAATTCAATTGACCCTTCGCAGGGAGCTTGATTGACAGGTGATCTGACCAATCATACTTTGCCATCCGCCATTTTGTCGGACAAAGCAGTCAGGAGAGTTAGTAGATTAAAATGGGAGGATTTGAACTTGAAAAACGGAAGGTACTGATGCCTTTCTGCGGTTAAAACAACATTCCAACAAGAGCCACAAAACGGTATTTATTGTTCAAATTTCTTTTAAAAAAATGACCAAATTTGAAAGGTGAGACTTTGTTTAATATGTTTAATATCAAAAGTAACCGAAAAGTAACCTGGTCTGTCCTGTCTGTCAGCGTGTTGTCAGTCCGCGATGTATTTTTCACTGCGTGAGAACATGGTGTGTGTGTGTGAGAGCAGCGTAGCTTGTCGGACATAGCGACAGTAACTAAGGGGGGCGGGTCTTTGCGAACGGTCAATTACTGTACAGTTTAAAAGTTTTAGGGTGAGAAATATATATATATATTTTAAGAAATTAAAACTTTTTTTCAGCATCAGCAAGGATGCATTAAATTGATCAAAAGTGACAGTAAAGATTATAATGTGTAATGTTACTAAAGATCTCTGAAACACTTTATAATAAGGTTCCATCATTCCATTCCTTATTATAAAGAATGATTTCTGAAGGATCACGTGAGTAATGATGCTGAAAATTCGGATTTGACATCACAGGAATAAATTACATGTTAAAATATATTAAAATAGAAAACAGTTATTTTAAGACAGTTGTAATGATATTTCACAATATCATTTTTTTTTATTGTATTTATAATCAAATAAACTGCGTTCACGGCATTCCAACTTGTAATCCACATCCTCGTAGAACTCATAATTACAACTTGTGCACTGGGAATTTTCTGAAAGCTCCGACTTGCACCATGTGTACCAACTGATCGCTGCAGATTCATTTAGGCATTGATAGTGTTGCCATAGAAATGCATAATTTCCAATCCGAGGACGTGAACAGGTTAGAGTAGGACGTCGAAATTACGGTAATTACGACATGGTGTGTATTCAACATAAATGGAGACTTCTTTCCAAAACATAAAAAAAAATGTATATACCCCAAACTTTTGAACAGTAGTTAAAAGAAAAATGAATACCTTGATAATGAAAGCTGAAAACACCATGATTGGCTTGCTTCAGGCTCTTATAGTGGATCTGCACTTGATTGGTTGAGCTACGAATCACCTGACCTTCGCTCATTAGCGTCTCATTGGCCAAAAGCTGTGGAGCTGTCCCACCCAGCTCCAGAATGGTAAGTGACTCCTCCTTGGACAAGTTGACTTTCTTTACCTTCAAGACAGACAGATGGTGTTACCATTAAAACATCTAATGTTGTCATTCCCCAAGATTGTATCAAGGGCAAAGATTCCAGAACTCATTAAAATGACATCCCCCATGCAAATGCGAACAAGATGCATCAGCTATGTTAACAGGCAGTAACCATAGTGACCCACAGAGAGGCTAAATAAGGGGACAATGGAAACCTTGCAAACGGTGAGGCTATCACACCTGTATCTCAACCCCATATCCAGGAAACACAGTGATGCTGTAGGTGCACTCCAGTGGGGAAAAGGGAGATGAGGAGGAGAGCGGATCAGGGGACTCGACTATTCCCTCCGTTCCTGACAGGCTGGCATTGCATTGAACTTGAGAGAGACAGTTTCAAAGTTTTAAAGTCAACATAAATTCATTTAGAAATCATTTGAATGGTCCCATTGAGGGACATAATCTGTGAAGTTTTCATATTGAAAATTATTTGATGTCTTCAACTATATGCGGTATTGTTGGTTATGATACCTGGGGTGTGCACTGTTGTTATTGTTGTTGTAGTAATTAGAGTAGTTGTGGTCTCTTCTTCAGCTGGTGGTGATGTCACAGCACTCCCAAAACCTGATTGGCCTGCATGAGGTGAAGCCGATGAGGTCACTGCAGTAGTGAGGATTCCTGGTGACATCACTGTGGAGGCGGGTTCTGATTCTCTGATGGACGGGATGGCCTGGGTCGGGTTAGTAGTTGTACCTGTGAGTTAAATCACAGATTTAGATGAACTGGTTTGTTATTGGAATGATGCAGTTTGCTGTGTTCTTTTTAGGAAAGACTGACCTCTGCTATTAGGGGTGTGGCCCAGGTACTCCTTACTCAGTAGTGCAGCATGGAGGAGTTCTCCCAAGGGGCGGGGACTAGAGGTCATGGTGGGAGGAGCCTCAGTGTCTGATGTCCCTAATGAAGCACCTGAAAAGACCACGGAACTATCAGACTTAGTTTCTTTAAGCTAAAGTGATCGTCATGTACTATGTACATTCACCTTGCATGAATAGTTAAACATACAAAAGCACTCACACGAGTATGTACACATTACCTGAAGTCAGATGCAGCAGTGTGACAGACAGTGTCACAGCAAAAACTGTGGACACCATTATTTAATACGAGAGGACAGCCTGGGTGCAAGCAAACGAGAGAAAAAAAGAAGTAGTAAGAAAGAGGTATAGAAGAAAAAAATATCAAAGTTAAGGAAGACTTAGGTTGTGATCTTAAAGGACACATTAAATCAAAGAGAGTCTGTTAGATTTGAAGTCATCTATATGCTAGTGTACTCCTAAAAGTGGAAATACATAAAAATTTGACTCTCCTGACTCACCAAAAACAATGATGATGATTTACAATATTACAAATAAATGCTGTTCTTTTGAACTTTCTATTCATCAAAGTATTCTGAAAAATGTAATCACGACAAAACTGTTTTCAACATTGATAATAAGAAATGTTTCTTGAGCAGCAAATCGGCATTTTAGAATTATTTCTGAAGGATCATGTTGACATCACAGGAATAAATTACATTTTAACATATAGGCTATTAAAATAGAAAAGTTATTTTAAATTGTAATAATATTTCACAATATTACCGTTTTACTACATTTTAATCCAAAAAATGCATCTTTGGTGAGCATTAGAGGATTTAAAGAACATTCATCCCATACTAACGATTTCTTTCCAATCGTATGCTCAGTGTTGAGAATGAAAATGTCCCTCCCCATACCTGAAACCCACTATTTAAATCCTGGTTCATAACTGTCACATTAACTGCCTGTCAAAATAGGATTTTTATGTCTGAAATGTAAAATAAATGATGACATGTCGCTAAAAATCAGAGGTTTAAAATAAACAAACTGCAGAAAATGCGTCATCTCGTAAAATATTCCCTAAAAGTCATTGGTGCTGCTACTGCTTTTGCCATAAATCAGATCTTATTATGGCCCCGCCGTGGCCCTCGAGGCTTGACAGTGCACGAGACATATGGCCCCTGACGTGCCCACGTTCAGTGATCAATGATGTCACCGCTAAGGCAGGTAGCAGAGATCAGGTCTGGGCTTCTAGTGGCCCAGTCACCATCACGAGCCTTATTTAGTATTTACCGCACACACCGACGCTGATATATATATATATATATATATATATATATATATATATATATATATTATATTATATTATATAGGGTTCATAATACAGATTCAGATGAAAACATTTTAAGGCTCGTCATTAGTTTATAATACCCACACTAACAGAAATGATGCCCACGATCAAATATGCTGGCAGATGATATTGCTGACACTGCGGGCAGAAGCGTTCAGATAATTTATTCAGACGCTATTCAAAAACATTTCCTTTTATCCTTTCCTATGACGCAAGACGCCCATTCCCCCCCAAATAAAGCATTAGCAAGCCGTCTAGACAAAAAAAACCGAAAGCAAATTCTAACGAAAAGCAATGCTGGTTCAATATAAATGGTTTACAATCATTTCATGAACACATCCATTGCATCTTTATGCAGCTGACGGTCGCGCGACATAACAAGCTCGCGAAAACACCAGAGGGAAACAGAACATACGCACCCGCAATACGCAGTTTCGCTTTTTTTTATTCGTCAGAATGAATCCACTAGGTTTCTTCTCTTGTCCTGGTGATTCTTTGAATGTTTCGTGTGTTTTTTTCCCCCCAGCACCGCTCTCGCTGCTGCGTTTTCAGCGTGATCCTCCGTCTCTCGCTCCTCCACCCCTCCAGAATACCACAACTGGCGCTGCGCGTCAAACGGATTTTAAAGAATCATTAGAACGCTCCCGAACGCTGTCAAACACGGGTGTTCCATTCGAACCCTGGGAGAAGACAGTAACGATTTCGACCCTAGGAAAAAAAATTGTTTGCCTACGTTCTTGATTGTATTTTTTCAGTCGTTTATTTTTGTCCGTTTAGGCCTATAGCAGGATAGCAGGTGAGTGGAACGAACATAGATGGCAGCAGTTCCTACCCGTCTGGTTGGCGCGTTGACTGTCAATTAGCGAAGTCCGAATTATGTTTGGGAGTCGGTTCGTTTTAATGAACCGGTTCACAAATCCGTTCTGAACGATTCACCCACGGAATGAGCGTGCCCGAGGACTTTTCGAGACAACAACAGTCTCACTGACACGGTTTATCACGTGGCTGTGCTTTTATATAGGCTATCTTAATGTTTCTTCCACCATCACAAATATTCAATAAATAATGAAAATTGTGCGGACCAAATATTTAAAAACGCCTTTCTTTTTAAATCACATGGACCATGCAGAAAAAAATCATTCAGATGTATTTTTTAAAGTAACAATAAGCATAACAATAAGGTTCAAAAACAGTGTTTGTGGTAGATATAGGCTACGTTATGAGAGAGAGAAATGGGTATTAATTGTCTGAATTCTGTGATAAATCGTGATAAAGCAGAAATAAAATATCTCACAATCCCCATATTTCATTTGAAAACAGGAATTTGGCCATTTCGTATATAAGTCTCAATTGTTGTCGCCTTTGTCGTCTTAGAATTTGACAAAAATTCAAAATTGTGGATATTAGTTGAAATATTAGTAACTTTTGTTATGGGCTATGTGTCTGACTCTCAGCTGATCCACGTCTATAGGAATTCGACACCTATCACTGTTACATATATATGCTCCTTCAGTATTATCAGCAGCTGAGGTGGTTCTGAGGAGCTCATTATTACCCTCCTCCATCCACAGCTCCTCCTCTCATCAGTCAGGATTTGGCATTCTGATTCCCCTGAATCAGAATAAAATTCTCTAATTATGTTGTACATTAAAATTAATTAATGATATCTGCAATACATTCATGTTGGTTTTGTTCTGTTTAAGGGGGGTTATTGCTGCTCACCCTGCTCTTATCCAGGCTGCATGAATACACAGGGAGTTCTCGCCCAAAACAGAACCATACCACCAATCCTAACTGTATGCTAATTGTCAATCGTACTTGACGATAGTGGTCCTGACAGAAATAAGCAATTTTTTATTTTGATGGCTGCAACACACACCAAAAAAGTTGGGACAGTGGTTTACCACTGTGTCACATCACCTTTCCTTTTAATTGCACTTTGTAATCGTTTGGGAATTGGGGATACTAATTGTTGCAGTTTTGCAAGTGGAATTTTTGCAAAATTTTTGATATAAGACATCTGCGTCCTATAGACCTTCATACCCGTCATACCACTGCTCTGAATAAGGTCTATATCTCCATAATCCTTGTCTCAAAAGTATATGTTTACCAATAAAGTAAAATAAATACCATTTCAATTGATTCATAAGGTTAACTTAAGCCTTTCTTAGGATAATTAAGTCAGATATTGCAATAAATAGCTCTTTTTGTCACTCATCTGAGGAAAATGTTATGGAAATGTACATACACACAGATGTTTTACTTATTTGTAAGTGATTCGTTAAGTTTTAAAGATGATTTATTTGGGTTGTTTGAATATTCAAAAGAAAATAGGAAAATATTACAAAATTTATGTTTTCTTCTAGCTAAATTTCACATATATAAACTAAGATTTACTGGCTCTAAACCTCTCTTTTCTTCTTTCAAAGTTGATCTAGACTATATGGAAACTAAAGCTCTTAATCTTATAAAGCAACAATAAAGTAGGCCTATTTGTCCTGGTCCTGGACCCCCACTGCACATTTTTTGTCTCCCGAATCAAGCACACCTGATTCAGCTCATTAGTAAAGACTCCAGGGTCTTGGGTTTCAGATAAGTGAGACGTCAAAAATGTGCTGTGTTGGGGGTGCAGGACCAGGGTTAGGAACCACTGGTTTAGTGCCAGTGACCACGTGATGATATAATAATCACTGAACCGTTTTTGGATCCTGTTTAGTGTTCACTGAACACAACTGTTCGAAACAGGCTAACTGATTCGCCACTATTAATCGGACTCCCTAGTGTGGTGTTTGGTTGGTTTGAGGGTGTTTTTGTGTCCATCTCATTAGCGCCACACTGTGGTTGTACTGCAGTAGCGCAAGACGTAGACGGCGCTCTGCATAGGAGCTGTCCAGCGTCTCGGTGCTGAAACTTGCCCCGGTGGCTCTCGGCTAACAGCAAGAGGCTTGGTAGAATTTTAAAATACAGCTTAACAACCCAGCAACGAGTGACAGGCTGATTCCGATGCGTCAGTACATGGACAAAGGTAATAAAAAAAAAACATCTTCGGCCTGTTCCGTAAAGAAGGAGGAGTCGTTCTTCCATCCTTACGGAAGCATTGAATGCGGAATTTACTGTGTTTTCAGGGCTGCAGATAAACAGAGGAAGGGACGTGGTGAGAACGAAGGGGGAAAGAGAGACTGAGTAAGACGTGGAGAAGTGGTAAGCGAACACACATACAGCACAGCTCATTTAAAGTGCCCGAATGGTAACTTGTAGCCTAACGTTCGGTAAAAATCGGTTCTTTCCGTCGTCACGCTCTCTCCGGATATCCGTGTGAAATGTTTCAGCAACGTGAGTTCTGAGAATGAAAGCGACCACACAAACTGACTGCAGCAGGAATCATTATGCAATAGACCGAGAGAGAAGCACTCTATATTTTCGAATGGATTCATATTAACACTTTACAATAAGGTCTTATTTGTTCACATTAGTTAATGCATTAACTAACATGAACTGTAACAATGAGCAATACATTTGTTACAGTATTTATTAATCTTTGTTAATAAAAATCCAGCTGTTCATTGTTTGTTCATGTCAGTTCACAGTGCATTAACTAATGTTAACAAATACAACATTTGCTTTTAATAATGTATTAGTAAATCTTGGAATTACCATTAACTAAGATTAATAAATGCTGTAGAAGTAACGTTAAGTATTGTTAACTAATGAAACCTTATTGTAAAGTGTTACCATATTCATTACCTGTGGTCAGCTGAATAATTATTCATAAACATTACTCTTAAACACAGAGGAAGGGAAATAAGTCAAAGAGTATTGATTTTACAGACCGAAGAAAGTCTCATGTATCAAGCACAAGTTCATGAAAATCATATTGAATAACTGTATCCTTGTAGAATAAAAGTATTAGTTTTTCTCTTTCTTTCTTTCTTTCTTTCTTGGTGAAGCTCACTCTCTCAGCATTATGTCCTGGTCTCTGGACTTGGTCCCGCTTCCCCCATGTGCGTTGCTAGGTGGTCCTCCCCTCAGCGGACTCCTTTGGACCGTCCTGCTCCTCTTCCTCTGGTACTGCTACCGCGTAGGTTCTGACCCACCATCCCACTCTGGAATGCTGAAAAGCAGCTCTGGCCGGTCCTCATTCTCTCGGTCATCCAGCCGTTCCCCGGTCAGCCCCATACACTCTGCCCCTAAAGCATCTGCGGCCATCACTATGGAGGCGGTGGAGGATGAGGAGGGAACAGAGAGCTACCTGACACCGGTGTTGAGCCATGCCCCGTTCCCTACCGACGCTTCAGCAGGAAGCAGGAAGTTGTATAGAGCACTACAGGAATATGCTAAGCGCTACAGTTGGGCCGGCATGGGGCGAATTCACAAGGGTCTGCGCAATCAGGTCAGAGATGGGAAAAGTAGGATAACTTGAGGTTTATCTACAATTTCTTGAATATTTGTGTTGTAGCTTAACATTTATGTCACTGTTTGTCCCTCAACTTCTTCCTCGCTGCTGTCTAGGCCAGGAACAATGATCGCCCATCTATTCAGAAGCCTCATCTTTTCTACCTCCCAGATGTTCCCAGCATACCTTTCTTTCCCAGGGATGCTCATCGTCATGACATTGAGGTTCTGGAGGCCAGTTATCCCAAAATCCTTGCTGAGTTTCAGGCAGTGTACCAGAGGGGGATTGATACAAAGCTAGGGTGGAGCTACCCAGGACCAAAGGTGACTAAACGTATTAGTCTCAAGCAGCTGTTTCAGGAATTATAATGTGTCATAGCAACAAATGTAAAAGTCGCAGTGAAATCTGTTCATCTGATTTTTAAACATCCGCACAAACTATACAATCAGAGTCCATCAGAATTGTGCGGCTTTCACAACTGAATTGAGAATACCTTTTTAAATTCCAGATAGATAGATAGATAGATAGATAGATAGATAGATAGATAGATAGATAGATAGATAGATAGATAGATAGATGATATAGCAATATTAGATTTGTGTGATCGACACATCAAAATTTGGATGGTAATTCCCTGAAAATATCCTTCTTAGCTGCTGTGAAGTTTCTTCAAAGTATCTCACTTAGTGTTTCACAGAAGAAGAAAAATAACAGCAATTGGGTTTAAAAGAACATGAGGGAGCAAATTGACATTTTTATTTTTAGGTAAACAATTCACTTGTGTTCTGCCTCACGCTATTTCATCCGGCATGCTCATTCACCAAGAGTATTTCATTCTCTGGCTGTCCTTGTCAGCCTCTCTTAATATCTTCCAATCAATATCTGTACTGCACTGCTGTTAGGGATCTGTTTGCATTCAATTCATCATTCTCTCATAATAATCAGGCTACAAAAAATGCTGTGTCTGTTGCAAAAGATTCCCAGCAGGTATATAAAGAAGGAAAATGTGTCGTGTGCATATGCATATATGATGAGCTCATGTATTCATCTCTCAGGGCCAGACAGTGTTCCCACTTTACACTGCTGGGGTGTGTGTTGTCAGTAACTGCCGTGCGTGTCCGTGTACATACCGAACCCTCCTCTCGCTCAGAACCTTCATCAGCAGTAACTCTCTGGGGTCCGCTGGCTTCTGGCTCCTGGGTCCAGGGGCCACACTGGGAGGGGCCTATGGCCCTACAAACACACGTCTGCGCTGCCATCTGGGTAAGTCACAACACTAAATCACAGAGAAAAACGTTTTGGCTTGATCCTCTTCTGTGGACTGCCCGTTAACAATGGGCTAATGATATATGTGTGTGTGTGTGTGTGTGTGTGTGTGTGTGTGTGTGTGTGTGTGTGTGTGTGTGTGTGTGTGTGTGTGTGTACGTGCGTGCGTAATAATACACCAACATAATGTCAATGTTTTTTTCATGAAATTCCTCTCCGTTGCAATTGCTCTGTCTCTGTGTCAGGTCTTCAGACGCCTGCTCAGTGTGAGCTGGTGGTGGGTGGGGAGCCTCAGTGTTGGTCAGAGGGACACTGCCTGCTTGTGGATGACTCCTTCCTGCATACCATCTCACATAATGGTCAGAAAACTACATTTTACAAACCTCATTAACCATAATATGCTGAATGACATAAAGCTAAAGGAGAGGAGCTGCAACAGATATATAATCAGCTCGCCAAACTACAACAATAAATTATGTTTTATTTAACAAGGTTCGGGAGGAGCAGGTGCAGATAAATAACCCAATCAGCACAAGTGGAGATCAATCAGTAATCAACTCAGGACAAGATAAATAACAGCAGAACCCACCTTTGTTCCTTGTCAGTTTATCAGCATCCCACCTCCACCCCATCTCCTCACTTTTAGTTCCATCTCTAGTTCCATCCACTCTTACCAACGGGGGGAGTACTCTGGGTTCGGGCTGAAATTCCGAGCTCGGAGCTCGGAGCCCTCCACCCGGACAGCACGCCAAGTACGCATAACCTTTACCATAATAGTTCTATGTAGATGTGAACTCGTGAAAGATAAAAGACTTTCTGAAGATGAAGAATAGAGGAAAATCTTACTTTGAGCTCATTCATAGATCAGAAAACTAAATGTTCTCAAAAAAGTTCTCAGTTATGCAAGAGTTATGCAAGTTATGCTATGCATTTATGTTTCTGAGGGGGCTCCAGTGGTAGTCCTGGCCCACTTTATGCCCTAGATGAAGTAAGACATGACCAAAGAAGAAAAAAAAAAACTTTTTAAGTATGTTGCATTTGTGTAAAATGGGATTAGTTGAGTGTTACACAAGCAAAAATCTGAGAGGGCACATGGATAATTTTCAATGAGCATGATGCTTTTTCATTTGTGTCAACTGGGTCTCAGATGTTTCTCTTAAAAAAGATTTGATTAAAATCAAGAAATAAAACCAACACAAATTGTTATTGACATACACTACCATTCAAAAGTTTGGGTTTGTAAGTTTTTATGCTCGACAAGGCTGCATTTATTTTATAGTAAGAATACAGTAAACACAGTAATATTGTGAAATATAACAATTTAAAATAACTGTTTTTATTTGAAAATATTTTAAAATGTCCTTTATTCCTGTGATGGTGAATGTTCAGCATCATTACACCAGTCTTCAGTGTCACATGATCCTTCAGAAATCATTCTAATATGATGATTTGCTGCTCAAGAAACATTATTATTATTATTATCAGTGTTGAAAACAGTTGTGCTGCATTTATAACATTATAAATATTTTTACTGTCACTTTTGATCAATGTAATGCATCCATGCTAAATAAAAATATATAATTAAAATATATATATATATTAACTGACCCAAACTTTTGAACAGTAGTGTAGTAAGTAAAACAAAATTAATTAATGGATAGTTGGCTTACATAATTTAGTTACATGAGAAATGTCTGCATTCATATCAAGATCTCTGAATTTCGTTTGGATTTTGAGACATTGTAGGGGGTATTGCATTACAAGTAACATGAGTTATGTAATCAGATTACTTTTCAAGTAACTAGTAAAGTATTGCATTATTTTTAAATTTACAATTATAAAATATCTAAGTTACTTTTTCAAATAAGTTTCGCAAGTTACTTCGTTTTACTATGTATTGAAACGCACTATCTTGAATACCTCATCGGAGCAGTATTCGAGGCTAAGCGCATATCCCATCATGCATTAGGTTCAGGAATTCACGTGCCCCGAAAAACTCACGTGCCCCGAAAAAACATTCCACTGTTGGTTAAATTGATTTAGATATTACATGTAATTCGGTAGTAAAACAAATAGTTCTACACACCTGCAGTCTTCACGCCTACTTGAACACTTGGGCCAAATACAGGAAAAACATCATGTAAGTAGACAAGTGGTCAAGTGCAAAGACCGCAAGTGTGGGTATTTGGAAAGGCCCTAAGAGTGTCGAACGTTCTTCTCATGGCAGCACAGCTGAAAGGATTGTTTGAGCTGCACCCTCTACTGTACAGGCGTGCATTTGCATTTCCTTCAGCCTTAGAGGCTTATTCATTTCCCCTTTCTTTTGTTGAGAAAAGGCCTTTATATTTGCCAAAAATAGAACTTTTGTTTATTTATTTATTTTGTTATTAAAAACAAACAAGCAAGCCAAGCTCAGGTGAGACGAAGTAATGCTAAAGTATAACATAACCCATTACTTTCCATAAAAAGTAACAAAAATAGTTAATTTTTTTACAACACAATATTGTAAAGCATTCCTTATAACTTTCCCAACACTGGTTGAGACAGTGACAGTACAGGGGCCTGTTTCAGAAAGGAGGTTAAGTGAAAAAGAATGGGAGGTATGTCAAACCCGAGAAAGCAGAGTAAGTCAAGCCCGTTTCTGAAAGAGAGGTAACTTATACTCAGAGTCAGTTACTCTGGCAACTTACTCTGTGAACCTAACCTGGTCAGGAGCAGGTTTTCTTATGTAAACCCAGAGTTTTTCTTATGTAGTAAATGCATCTTCATTTAAGATACGTTTTAAATCAAGCAACAGTAATTCTTTTTCTTGTTGGATTTTAATATTCTTCACATATTGTGTATCTCCTTTTCATCTATCAGTGCTGGTACAGGTCCAGCCTCTCGATTCTTGCTGTTGGCCCAGTAGAAGTCAAATGTTAATTTCATTAGCCTAATTAAAAAATTTAACAGGTTGGATTAGAGAACATTTAATTATGTGAAAAGAGCATTGTACTACATGGAAACCGCTGCGGCATGGAAACAGATAATGAATTATATTTATTTAATATGTCAAATGTTTGTAAAGTCATGTAAGATTTAACTGATTGAATTATGGTTTTATTGGTCATTTTTAGTTGCTGCCGCGTTCTTTTTTCTTTCTTTCTTTTTTTTTTGCCTGTGGGATACCATGAAAATGAGTATTAGTTCAATAACTGACGTTTCTGTCAGTTTTCACCTGATAATATAACAGTGATTAAGAATTATACTTCTATCGACTCAGAAGTATGTGGACGTCTTTTTGTCGGGTGCTGTTGCCATGGTGAATCGTAATTTCGGAGATCCATTATCATGGCTTTTCATAGTCGTGGCGCACTTGCTTAACTCAGAGTCAACCTACTCGGAGTTGATTGAACTAACTCAATTCAGCTGTTCTGAAACCGAAAACTCAGAGTTAATCAACTCAGAGTTCAAGTTTTAACTCAGAGTTGGTTGAACCTCCTTATTGAAACAGGCCTCTGGTCTCTTCTAAAGTAGACATTTGAGACAAAGACACAAGGGCACATGAATTAAAAAAGAAAAATAATAATTTACAATAAATCCTGCAATATTCCACACACACAAAAAAAAAAAAAAGAATATCAATTTTGATTTCATGTGGACTTTAAACTGTAAAAAAAACTACAGAAGATAGGCTACTAAAGATCTCATATGTAAGCAACATTTTTCTGTTTGTCCTCTAGGGGGGGCTGAAGATGGTCCCAGGGTTATCTTCAGTGTGGACCTGTGGCATCCTAATGTGGCTGCAGCGGAGAGACAGGCTCTAGACTACATCTTTGCCCCGGAGCAGTAATTCCCAGGATGCACTGGTCCAACCCACTTCATGTCGTAGCAAAATGCAGAAAATGTTGTTTTAACGTTCGCAAAACATCTTTTGGTTTAGTTGAAAGTTCACACTGAGGATATTTATGATTCACTACCACATATTTAACGTGTCTCTGTTCAACCGAAACCTTTTGAAATGTTTTAGTCAAAGTAGTTCAGTCAGAACTGCAGAACTCTTGAGCCCTGAGCACACAGATACTGTGATGACATGCGAACAATTTTCAAACTTCATATCTACATTTAACTTGTGCCTGTCTTTATAATCCCGCGCTCCTGTTCTATCGTTTTTGTGCCTGATTTCTTATCCTGACCTCTCTGATGTATACTGTGATACATGGTTCTCCGTAAATACTGTACACGCGAATCACAGCTATGCTATAAATCTGATTTTATTTCATCAGATGCCAATTTATTTTCAGACCTGTGAAGCACACTGAAGACAGCAATCTGTATATGACCAGACTAATTGCATGCGTCGTGAATTTTGATCGTGTTGCCAACAATGCACTTGATGACTGTCCTGCAAATCAAGTATGTATTCATCTGAGTTCAAATAAAACATTTTGTTAAATTTAAACTCTCTAGTCGCTGATGACATTGGAGGGGGAGGAAGTATCACACTCACAGCAGGACAGTTACATTCACTCAGCACCCAAACACACACCTGAGGTTGGAGGTCTCCTCTGTCAGCAATTTTATCTTCCTGCATTGAACCCTGTGAGAGTAGAGAAACATAAAATAAAGAGGATAGAATATCACGAAGGTGTATAGGGGCCTGTGTACAATTGCAATCAAAGATGCATGCGAGACGGGGCGAGATGACTAGACAGACAGGATAATGTGTTTAGAAATAATTTGCGTGTGGTGTGATGTAATGTGTGTTAGATGATCTGTTTAGCCATAATTCTGAATGTGGAACGACATTTTTTTTTCTGTGTTAGATAAACCTTTTTCTTGTATTAAAAAGTGGTTGATATATTTCAACAGATGTTACAATCCCAACAGTTAATCTGACAATGTGCTTTAACACCGGACACTGGACACACACAAAACAAGATTAAACAGCCATTATACTTCACACACACACACACACACACACTGGTTTCCATGTTTTATGGGGACTCTCCATAGATGTAATTGTTTTTATACTGTACCAAATTCTCTCCCCTTACACTAACCCTACCCCTAAACCTACCCGCCATCACACAAAACTTTCTGCATTTTACATTTTTCAAAAAAACTCGTTTTGTATGATTTATAAAGTGGTTTCCTCATGGGGACCGAAAACATTTCACCACAAGGACAAGGATTTAAAAAAACAAAAGTGTGACTAAAGTGACTAAGTGACAGTAAAGACATTTATAATGTTACAAACGTTTTTGTTTCAGATAAATGCTGTTCTTTTGAACTTTTTTTATTAATCAAAGAATCCTGAGAAAAATGTATCACAGTTTCTACAAAAATTTTAAGCAGCACAACACTTTTTTCTTCAATGTTTATGTTTTCAACATTGATAATAATAAGAAATGTTTCTTGAGCAGCAAATCATCATATTAGAATGATTTCTGAAGGATCATGTGACACTGAAGACTGGAGTAATGATGATGAAAATTCAGCTTTGATCACATTAATCAATTACATTCAAAATTTACATTAAAGAAAACAGGTATTTTAAATTGTAATATTATTTCACAATATTACTGTTTTTACTGTATTTCTGATCAAATAAATGTAGCCTAAGCCAGCAGAAGAGATCTTACTGACCCTAAACTTTTGAATGGTGTCATTATGATTATATAAAACATTTAATATTTTTATAATTTACTGTAATCTTTCTATATTCATAATTTTATATAAAAATATTTATAAATCTATTTATAATGATTATACACAACCCCACCCCTAAAAAAACTTTTAGATTTTTTTTTAAATTATTTGTCCCAATTAAGGACGTTTTCAGATGCCACACACACACACACACACACATTCTCTCTACTCTCACTCTCTATCTCTGTTTTTTATTGGCCTTATTGTTTTTTCAACATTCCCTTGCCCCAAAAGTGTTGATTTCGAGAGAGGTGTTTCTAGTGTCCTCTCTCACTCTTATACATAAATTATTATTGTTTTGCCCTGTTTAGTGAGTTTGATTCAACAGAAAATATTTTATTTTAATTGTGATCACAATTTTGCCATAAGTCTTCATAGTTACCGTGCGTTTTATCCTCAGATATTTCTGTTCATCTATTTGCATTTCGCATCTCTTGTCTTCAAGCTGTTTCAGAGGCAGCTATAATGATGTCATTCTTCTACTTTTATCCATCCTCTCAAGATATCTTTCCATCTGCTCCTTGTTGATATTTCTCATTCTGTCATATGAGCATTTGATTTCTTCTATTCCACTATTCTAATCCTCTTTTCTTACCCCCCACTATCTCTCTCTTTCTGGCGAATGGTATGTTAAGCAGTAATCTTAGCATCCACACACTATAGTGATGGTGGGGAGCGCAGAGAGCTCTGGGATTACTGGGCTACTCTTACGCAAACACATTTCAGGATGTAAGAAATTGCTTAGCATTAGCACTTTACGTAACAACAAATCATACTATATGCATGCATGCATTGAAATATACTGACACAACCGAACATGATGACCGTGTTGTACGTCAGTTAACTCAGTCCTTATATAAAACTCATGCACACATGCAGATTTATGATAGATTTATGATGCAGATTTATGATGGCATCTGAAGTATAAGCACTGAAGAGCATTAAAGGTAACCTTGTTTTGTGCTTTTGGCCCCCCCAGGGGGGGGGGGGGGGGGATGGAATTGGAATGATTTTATTTGAATGCAGATTATTTTTTTAAATATTGGACATGCATGTAACATCCAGATTAAAGAAAAAATCAGAGGAAAAAACTATAAACAAAATAATCAAATTCATGTTAGTTATTTGCAGTCACTTTTGCCAGGTTCTGCTTAAGAAGCTAGATTTGATCTCTCTGACTCTATCCTCTCTCTCTCTCTCTCTCTCTCTCTCTCTCACTCCCACTGTCACTTGCTCACTCATGCATTTATTCTTTGACTTGCTACCTCCCTCTGTATCGTTTAATCATTCAGGAGCTGCTGACTGACAGTGAGAAAGGTTTTTTTCTTGCACTGAATTTAAAGAACAGGAGGACAAGAGAGTTGGCTGGCAGAAGCAACACAAAGTAGAACAAAACTAAAGAGGACTGACCTTCTTCACTCCTTCCTGGACAGAGCAGCGTAACAGGTGAGGGAATGTTTCTTAGAAATTTCTGAACTGCAATGTAGTGTCATTGTTACATTATGTTACACGTAGATACTATAGTAATAAATATAATTTATGCATAATTACATGCAACTAACCATAAACCAAATCAAACTCTAATCCTAACCCTTTAGTAAGTAGTACGTGTAGTTAATTAATATTATTTAGTAATTATAGTGTAGCAAAGACACCTTAAAATAAAGTGTAACCAAGATGTTCTTTGTTTCATTCAAGAAATGCCTCCAAAGAATATGTCAAATTATCATTCAAATTCATAATAAATAAATTAAAAAAAACATGAAAAATATTTTAAATACCAGCGGTGACATATTAAGACCATTCTTGCTGCAAACTTGTGATTGGTGTGCATGAATTTGGTGTTATATTCAATAGTTTCAGGGTTAAAGTAATGTTTATTTTATCACAATACAAATTACAGTATGTTCAATATCTGAACATTTTTAAAGACACTCAGAAGACACACAGAAGAGGCTGTCAGATATGAGTCTGGGGCCGGCTTGCATTTTCCTAAGAGGATCTAAAAACACTGTAAGTCTCTTTGGCTCTTATATATATATATCCTGTAATCTGGTACTGTAGTGATCCAGAGTATATAGGTAGACATAAATGTTTTTATTTTTTTATTTTTTATCTAAAGTTCCTCACTATTGCACTATGCTGAGCTCATTCAGAACCAATCTGTTAATATCCATCAAGAGTTATAAATATCTGAACTGGTCTGGCACAAGAATGATCTCTCTAATGCTTTTGGATATAAGATATTAATGGGTGCTTGCAGGAGAGAGAATGAGTTCAAAATCTGTCCTAAGTCATCAACAGATTGTTGCTTGCATAAACCTTGCATAAAAGTTGTGCTGAATCCAAAAATGTGGGTAAATATGTAAAGTTGATGCACATACAAGGAAGCCTAACTGTAGCTGTTTTACAGGAGCGTCCACTCGCAGATGAGGAGATAGAAGGTAAGTGCAATTGTTTTTACTACTTTTATTCTAAAATAAAACTTTACAAAAAATGTACAATTTATTTAAACAAATTAAATGTATTTAAAACCGAAATTTGAAAAAAGACTTCATTTTTACCATTAACAGAGAGTCCCTGATTATTTCTTGAAAATGAATTGATTACACTGGTCTGCAATTTTTTAGAAGTCCTCTGCTTCAAAGATAAAATGTGCTATTTATGTATTTTTGATGTGCTGAATTCAAATATGTCAATTAACTGATTGGCTACTGTTTCCAAGATATTTAAGTATTGTTAAATAATCTATGTTAAATATTGTGTAGATATTACCTGTCACCTGTCCTGTTTATGTAATAGCCTACTTTAAAAATAAGCAAAAGCGTTATATATCATATTAATATCATAGTTAAGCTAAAAAAGAAAGATGGCATCTGAAAGTTGCGGTTTCATGGTTTAAATTGAGATATCTTCCCTTTACTCACTTATCTTCCGCCATTCCCAAGTCAAGGGTCGCATACCGACTCAATAGCATATCTTGAAAACTAGAGCCAATCAACAATTTTAAGCATCATTTTCATTTTCAGTGACCCACAGTAAAGTTTGACTATATTATTTCAGATGCATTTTGGCTGTAGACCAGTGTTATTTATTTTATTAAACGGTTTTATTTTCTAATGTTTACCTCCACATTTCTGGTTCATTTATATAACCACACTAATCTTACAGCATAAGATGCAAACCATGCTGTGAAGTGCCAGATGCCAATGCAATTCAGTGAAGTCAATGAGTCTGAGAGTACTACTGAAACTGCTTCTATTTTATAATCTTTTCTAAATAAATATAATATTTGTTGATACAAACTGTATTTTCGTCAATTAAAGGATTAGTTCACTTTAAAAAAAAACTTTTGCTGATAATTTACTCACCCCCATGTCATCCAAGATGTCCATGTCTTTCTTTCTTCAGTCGAAAAGAAATTAAGGTGTTTGATGAAAACATTCCAGGATTTTTCTCCATATAATGCACTTTGCTGGGCACCAAACGGTTCAAGGTCCAAAAGACAGTTTCAGTGCAAACTGCAAACGTAATGGTCTTATCAAGCGAAACGATCGGTCATTTCAAAAATAAATAACAAAGTTTAAGTTTAATAATGTCAAATGCTCGCCTTGCTCTGTTATGTGATGCACGTTCGTGACTCTCCTGTTCGAATTCGTTCATCAAAATGAACAAATCATTTTTAGAGTCATTTGGTTCATTTAACGAAAGAAATGAACGAATTGACTCTGAAAAAGATTCGTTCATTTTGATGAACGAGTTCGAACAGGAGAGTCACACAGAACAGAGCAAGGCGAGCATTTGAGCTTATAAAACTTAAACTTTGTTATTTCTTTTTTAAATGAGCGATCGTTTCGCTTGATAAGACCCTTATTCATCGTCTGGTGTCGTTTAAAGCCATTTGAACAGTTTGCAGTTTGCACTGAAACTGTCTTTTGGACCTTGAACCGTTTGGTGCCCAGCAAAGTGCATTATATGGAGAAAAATCCTGGAATGTTTTCATCAAAAACCTTAATTTCTTTTCGACTGAAGAAAGAAAGACATGGACATCTTGGATGACATGGGGGTGAGTAAATTATCAGCAAAAGTTTTTTTTAAAGTGAACTAATCCTTTAAGTGAAAAGTTGAACTGAAAAATCTACATGAATTTCAGAAGTCTTAGTATTGGGTTTGTCCTCTCGCTTTAAAGCACTTTAAGCTTCAAGAATCTACATAGTCAAATGATCAATTATTTTGATTAGTAACTGTTCTTAGCTTACACTTTTTCAAAATCCTCAAACTTTTTGTAGCTATATTTCTATTAGGTTTAAATGAAATAATAATAATAAATCCCAGATTATTGAAACAGTTTGTCGTGTACCCAGAACTCTGTTAATTAAATGGTCTTGTGTGTATTGCAGAGCTGCGCGAGGCGTTCGCAGAGTTTGATAAGGATAAGGATGGTCTGATCAGCTGTAAAGATCTGGGCAACCTGATGAGGACGATGGGTTACATGCCCACTGAGATGGAACTGATTGAACTTAGCCAGAACATCAACATGAACCGTGAGACATCTGTCCCCTTTCCCATCTCCGTTTCACATATATGTGCTAGCAGCTGTTTTGTGATTTGATGCTTGTCCGGTCAATGTGTTTTGTACTGATACTGTTTTGACACTGTATGTTCCATCTATTTATTTATCATGTGTTGATCTCATGATCTCTGCTAATCTTTATTCTCTATCTGCCTCTTTTTTTCAGTTGGAGGAAGTGTAGATTTTCAGGATTTTGTTGACCTCATGGCCCCAAAGCTACTGGCAGAAACGTCTGGAATGATCGGACTGAAAGAGTTGAAAGATGCGTTTAGAGAGGTAAAGGATGTACCCTTTTCCTTTTCATTTCCCAAACATATTTCCAACAAAAAGCATAAAGGAGTGTAATCTTTTTATATTTTTGTGTAGTTTGATATGGACGGTGACGGCTCTATCACCATCGAAGAGCTGAAGCATGCAATGCTAAAGCTGCTAGGTGAAAACACAAACAAGAGGGAAATAGAAGCGGTGGTCCGAGAAGCAGACAATAATGGAGACGGGACCGTTGATTTTGAGGGTAAAATAGATTCATATTTCAACATAATGTAGACTTTTTCACCAAAAGCCTATATTAGCACAGTTGTTCTTCTTGGCAATACGATATTCAAAGCTATTTCCTCTGGCATTTCTGCTGTAATTATGACAATGCTGTTTGTTTTTGATAACAGAAACTGTGAGTGTTAATATCAGTGGTGGAGAAAGTAATAAAGTAAAGTATAATAGGCTACTCCAGTAAATAAAAATAAAAATACTAGTTTTACTACTTACGCATTAAAACTAAAAAGTAGCCTACTGGATATGTTTATTTACTTTCCAATTTTATTGGGGCTGAGGGCACGCAAGGTCTCTCGCTCTCTGCACGGTTTGGAGCACATACAGTAGGCCTATGTTCTGTCTCGCATGCGCGGCTCTAGATTCCAAGAGATTTGAACTAATTTATGCCGAGTTCAGACTGCACGATTTTAGCCCCGATTTTGGCTCGCCGACAGGTTTTGAGAAATCGCAGACAAATGCCCGAAATCACAGGCAAATCGGTGCTCGTTCACGCGAGTGACAATCACGCAGTGTGAATGAGCAAAGACGCGATCTGAGAGAATCGCCGACGAGTCGCCGACGCCCGTGAGATATTTGGCATGCTAAATATCTGGACCTGTAGGCGATTCACAATCCTGCTGTGTGAATGTGTTCTGACTGAAAACTACATCGGCGATGACCGACAGCCAATTAGAGAGCAAGATACAGGGAGGAGGAGGAGGAGTTATAGACCAGAATATCAGTATTTTAATAGATAGACCTATATTTACAATTATATCAAACAGAAACAAAACACAAACATTTGCATGACCAGCAGCAACAGCAGGACATTTGCAAAATGTTTACAATACACTCGCTTTGCAAAACACAGTCCTTGCTCCCCTCCTCTTGCCAACCATTTCCTGCATAAACTGTTTTTCTTTTTTTCTTCTTTTTTTTCGCTACAAATCAGTGCACAGACAATTTGTAGGCTATCATTTTTAATAACAAATTCAGTGTCGCGCAAGAACTCCGGTCTCACGCACGCTTGATCTTCCGTTATTTCCTATCACTTCTCGCTTTGTTTGTTTGTGAAACGTAGTTTGCGGACCAGGCAGAAGTTATCGGCGATTCTTTCTTTTGTAAAGTCATGCAGTGTGAAACCTCCTGTCGCCGATCCATCGTGCAGTGTGAACACAGCAGCAACTGAATGTTACCCCAGATAGTCATGCAGTGTGAAAACAACAGTGACCCGATTATTTTGAAAATCGTGCAGTCTGAACTCGGCATTACGGGCATCAGAGAGCCGCTATCATTATGCGGGATTTTTATAGGTTAATTTTTTTAAACAATTCAGCGCAACTCCAAAAAGGAGGACAAATGAGTGTCCGGCTTGAGGCTGGGCCGGACGCCGGACAGGGGGCTTAAAATCCGGACTGTCCGGCCAAAATCCGGACGTATGGCCACCCTACCGACAGGTCCAGATATTTAGCATGCCAAATATCTCACGGGCGTCGGCGACTCGTCTGCGATTCTCTCAGATCGCGTCTTTGCTCATTCACACTGCGTGATTGTCACTCGCGTGAACGAGCACCGATTTGCCTGTGATTTCGGGCATTTGTCGGCGATTTCTCAAAACCTGTCGGCGAGCCAAAATCGGGGCTAAAATCGTGCAGTCTGAACTCGGCATTACAGGGTAACAAGACTTCGCAAAGGACAGAGGAGAAACACAGGTTTAAATCAGGAACTCAATAACCAATAATGAAACACAGCTGAACATAAAAAAAATAATGAGTCCATGGGGAAAACATAACACAATGAGAGAGTGCCCTCCAGTGGCTCTCGAGGGCACTACAGCTGCCGATCGTCACAGCGGGAAAGACGCGTTTTTCGCTATTTTAAAGTTGTGGACATGTCTTCATTCAGGTAGCCTATGTCATACAATGGGCTTAAACTGCTTGCCCTTTTACAGCTAATTTAGTTCACAGACAACTGACAGACCTTTCATTTAGCCTACAATAATAATCAATCCTAAAATTGGGCATTATTACCTTTCGCGCGCCATCAGTCATAAGCTCCGAGGATCTCCCGCTCTTGGCTCAGTGTTAACTGGAGACTCGCTCTGAACAGACCATTTGATCAGTGACTCGAGAACAGATGGTCGAATTCACCAATGAATCGTTCAGTGCGATTTGCAAACCGATTTAACAGATTAACTAAAACACTGCTATCACGTCTCTAGGTGACGATTTCTTCAGTTCAAAATTCAAAACCATGTTTTTTTTTAAAATGTAGTGTAGTGAACGTAGGCCTACGATATTGTGCTTTTGAATATGATGTAAAGTTTCCAAAAATAAGTCTGATAAAGTATAGGCTACAGATAGGCTTCTTGAAAAATGTAGCCATAGCCTCTTTACAGAAGTCAAAATACTTTGTTAGCCAACTGTTCTGGTTTAGTGCAGAACCACTGCATTATCTCCACACTCTGTTTTAGTTTAGCACTGCCACACAGGCTATATAATTACACACAGATCTATAGCAGAACCTTTTCACGTGCGGAAATGCATGCAAAGGGATCTTTGCATCTTTAAACACCATAGGCCTGGACTGACCTTAGTAATTACTGAAGCGTTGAGAACCTTCTTTAATGTATTAACATCAGAGCAGCTGACGACGTGTTTCAGTCATTAAACTAACAAGACTGTAAGTGTGATCAAATGTGAGGTCAAGAACGGGTTTGTGCTGAACCCTGATACTTTAGAATTAGCTTCACATTAAGTGATTAACTAAAATGTACAAATGTTTCCATATATCAAACCATTTTATATGGTAATATTTTGGCCAGGTATCTCTTGGAAAAGAGATTTTTCTCATCTCATTAAACTGGTAAAATAATTAAAAGTTCTAGAATATAATACAGTATAATAATATGGAAACAAAATAGATGAATCTAAAATGCAAATCTGATAGTTATTACGGACTGGATACTGATAATCTCCCTTTATATCAGCCTTAGCTCTATAGTTAAAACTAATGCTTTGCTTTTTTCTTTCTTTTTTTAAAATCTCTCTCCTTTAGAGTTTGTCAAAATGATGTCTAAAAATTGAGAATGCACCTGTGACGTTAAAGAAGGCCTGAGACAATCATTCCAGAGACGGAAACATCTGCATCAGTCAGACCGTCAATAAAGTCAATGGCTACGGCTACTATGCATATGGGAACATTTTTTTATACCATTTTGTTTGTGTATTTATATCTTACTCTTTGAGTGCCACTTTGTTTTGCTTTACATGACCTCAAACACTGAATCCTCTATAAACTGTAAATGATAATAATGTCATATCAGTATTATGTAACAATATTTCAGTGCACGTCGGACATATATGTTCGGAATAGGATTGTATCTTTCATTGGACACACATACTTGAACTTTTGGCATAAAACCAAGTTAAAGACTCTCTGACTGTTATTACTTTTTCATTAGTGTGTCCTAATTTTGAATTTTGCATTAGTGTGTATGTCCTGATATTGATGTAATTTGATCATCTAAGCTTTAGTTAAGCTCATCACTGACAATGACAAATGTCATCAGGGAACTGGAACACAGTCTATCCGCTCTCTAATTCTGTATTGCATCAATGTGTGTCTGTACATATACATTTTAAACAGAAAGAGCATTACATGAGTAAATGTTATGATAGAAATCTACCATAATCTGCCTGTAATTTCCTGATGCAAATTCAATCAACATTTACATGAATTAATTTAGCGGCCACTTAAGCATTTACAAATGAGAGTACACTGTAAAAAATATTTTAGCAATTTAGTTATTTCAACTTATTTTTTTGTGTAGAGATAACTAGATTGTCCAGACAACAAGACATTTTAAGTTTTCTTGTCCTCAACTTATCGAAATAAGTTAGTTAAACTAAAAAAAAAACATGCAAAAAGATAACACAAAATAATGAGTTAAGTTTTTTTACAGTGTAATAGAAACAAATGTTATTGATTAAAAAAAAAGTGGATAAAAATCAATAAAGACTTTTGCTTTTCTGTTCCAACCCCCTCCAAGGGCCATTTGGTGTTCCTAAAGGGAAAGAGGAGCTGATAGTGATCAGGGCCATAGGCCAAGATGTGTGTACATCGGGGTCTAATAATTGTCACACCTTTTATTTAGTACGGTGGGGGAAGCTGTAATCTGCTGATTGGTCGGTTTGAATGTGTCACATTTGGGTTTCAGTCACATGGTCAAGGAAGGGATAAAAGAAGATTGTAACCATTGCTCTGTCTTCTTTTTTCTAGGCTCTCTTTTCTTGGGGCCTGCTCTTTACCTTTGAGGCTCTCTCCCAACTAGACTCTCTCTCTCTCTCTCTCTCTCTCTCTCTCTCTCTCTCTCTCTCTCTCTCTCTCTCTCTCTCTCTCTCTCTCTTCCTATCTCTCAGGTAAAATTCTACATATATGCTGGGTACAATTAATGGTATAAGATTTTATCTTCTCATACATCTATTTTGTAACTATTTTAACCATAACCAGATTTTGATTGTCATTAAACCCTTTCAATCACAAATGATGTGCTAACTATAGTATTAACATTAATGTTTTACCTATTGCAATAACTGCACTTATTTCCGTTGTTGGTTTAAGTAGCAGTGGGTGGTAATAGACAAGAAATATACAGTTTTATCCCATCTTGCTGAGAACATTTCTTTAGTCATTTGGCAATCCTGCTGCAGCTCTGCATCTGCCAGAAGAACTGTGGCAACGTCGCTTGAAGACACATACCAGTAAAGCTACAGTACTGTGAAATGTTTTAGGCACTTGTGTAAAAATGCTTTAAAGCAGTGTTTCTCAACCCCAGTCCTCGGGACCCACTGCTCTGCTCTCCCTTATTTAACACACCTGATTCAGATCCTCAGCTCGTTAGGATAGACTCTATGAACTGAACTGAGTGTGTCAGATAAGAGAGACATACAAAATGTGCAGAGCAGCGGGTCCCGAGGACTGGAGTTGAGAACCACTGCTTTAAAGTAAGGATGCTTTCTAAAATAATGTCATAAATTGATTTAATTTTCAATCAAAACAATATTTGGTGTGACCCCCCTTTGCGTTTAAAACAGCTTTTGTCCTAGGGACACTTGCTCACAGTTTTTTTCAGGTAGCTTTGCAGGTCAGTTTCTTCAAGCGTCTTGGAGACGTTGCCACAATTCTTCTGGATTTAGTCTGCCTCAGTTTCCTCATGTAATCCCAGATGGACTCGATGATGGTGAGATCAGATCTCTGTGTGGAACACCGGCTGTTGTCAGACTCCATGAGCATACGAAAATCTCACTGGATTTTTACAGTTATTACAAACCGGTAAGTCGGCGACACAGTGTTGGGCGCCCAAAGCTCATTAATGCACGAGGCCAGTGAAGGCTATCCAGTCTGGTCCGAGCCAACAGAAGGTCTACTGTGGCACAAGTCACAAAATTTGAATGATGGTTATGGGAGGAATGTATCACAACACACAGTGCAACACACTAGTACATGTAGCCAGGTACCAATCAAAGTGCCTATGATGACCCCTGTCCACCGTCGAAAGAGCCTGGGAACATGAGTGTCGGAACTGGAGCTTGAGTGGAAGAAGGTTGCATGCATCGATGAGTCCTGTTTTCTTTTAAATCACGTGGACGGCCATGCATGTGTGCAACGTTTACCTGGGGAATGTGTGTGTGCTTGTGTAATGTTCTGCATTAGACCGATAATCTCACATTTATGGCTTGTATGTTGCACTTTGGCCTGAAAATGGCATTAAAAGTAGAGACCGTCAGGAAACATAATATATTTAATATAATCAAATCCTGCATGCAGTCCAGTAATCCCTTTAGCCTCCTGATCACGCTTTTCCACGAACTTCATGGCACATCTGCTCAGCTCACACTTCTCTGGCTGGTCTGCTAAACCTGCTCAGAAACATCTGTTCCACGATGAACCTCTGTGCAGTCAGCATTCTTACAAAAAAATAAAAAGACTATACATTTCAACTATCCAAAACCTTGCACTCTTTTAATACAGTGAACAACAGTTATCTCCTGACCTGTAATTAACCTCATCTTTTGTTCCTCATAGACAGGCAGCAGCTCATAAACCTCTATGCCAGATGTGCTGAATAACCTCGCTAAACCATTAATGACATCCGGTCTGTCACCAATCTGTTTCTATTGAAATCCTATGCAGCAACTGGGAGACATGCATAAACATCATTGCATCATGACCGGTACGTTTGTTCCAGGGTTCCTAGTATTTCATATAGCTTAGGCTTCATTCCATTGATGTGATTATTTAAATGTTTATGAATAGGGTATTTATATGGATTAGGATTATATGGGTGTGGTATAATACCCATGATAAAGATTTGATGACACTATTTCAAGATCACTAATCAAATAAGTATAAACATACATTTGTATCATTTGATGTGGAGTTTAATTTAATTTAATAAAATGTGTAGTGAAAAATTACATTGCAAAATAATGCATAAATAATAATGCAATAATATTGCATAAAATAATAAAAGTATATAAATGTAATATAAGCATTTTCAGTAGTAGTCTCAGACTTTTGGAACTCATTCCAATTTTTGGTTTATTTGTAATATTTTATTTTAATATTTTGTGTGTTTTATTTAACATTGTGCCTCAGGTCCGTTGTTAAAAAAAATAAAGGAAAATAACAATTATGTTGCGTACACTTATTCAATGTGTAAAGAAAAAAATCACTGAAAAGTCCAAGGTGTTGTCTTTAAGAAACAGGACGTAAAACTATAACATGTACGATTTCAGAGCAAGTCATTTCATAGATGACATATCAAATATAGACTAAAATGATGATGAACGTTATGGCCTGCATGACTGGTGCAGAAGAAATGATAGACATAATAGTCAGAACATGCCTGTGGGGAAATCCATGAATATAAATTATGTAATGCTGACCTGTTTTTTATTAATTTATTTTTTATTATTTAATCCACTATATAGGCATTTTCTTTTCTCTGATGCTTCATAATCCCTCACTCATCCACCAGACTCTCCTTCTGTCTTCCCTTTTTCGTCTGCATTTAATCTAGTATTTAGGTAGCCTATTTAAAGCAGGATGTTTTCCATTCTTAAAACGCTTAAAATCATGATGATATAACAGGTTGTGTGTTCTGCTTTGTCTCTTGACATGTTGAACTCATGGCATGTGCAATGTGGGAAGACTTTAGTCTCACAGTTTTTTTCCTAAAATACCTCTCCTCTTTGCTCTCGCCATTCTTCCCGAATTAAAATGCATCAAATGACAAATTCCCTCACCAAATTTTCACGGAAATGCTTTGTAGTTTTACCAGCACACACACAGGTATGTGATTGCATTTAAAAACAATCCCAAATATCAGAATTCGTCTGTTGTCTGACCCAGGAATTTCCACCTTGTTTTTCTTTTCTTTTTTTGTGCCAGCTAAGGCACACTTGGACATAAAACACTTGATTTCCATTGCATAAAATAGTCTATTGACAAACATTATTACATTATGCTAAATCTGTTATAGCCCCTATTTTCTTGTATTCTTTTGTCTCTCCCTAGTCCTCTCCTGTGCTGCGTCACCATATTGAGAAAGAGATTTTACATTTAATGATGGGGTTACGAGCAAATTAATGAATCGAATAGGACTTTAAGTGATAGTCTTCTGCTGAACACAGAAGATATTTTGAAAAATGTCGGTAACCAAACAGTTGATGGGCCCCGTTGACTTCCAAAAAAAATATCAATGGGGTCCATCAACTGTTTGGTTACCAACATTCTTCAAAATATCTTCTTTTGTGTTCAACAGAAAAAAGAAACTCATACCAGTTTGGAACTTGAAGGAGAGTAGATTTTAATTTTAAAAAATCTGAATTTAATTTTTTGGGGTGAACTCCCTTTGTAGAATACATTCATAGGCTTTAGTTACATAATGTGCTGTCACAGGAGTCTATCAAGCTCTATTTGTGTGGAATGGTCTAAAAACTTCTCACTGGTAGATGATCTAGCATATAAATAAGCCTGCATGCTCTTCTGTGGTGTCTGAGCTTACAAATCCTGGCCTTTTCCCTCACACACACAATTCCATGTTAAATGTCACAAGGGGGTGTAAGACTGGAAAACTGGTTATAGGGAACGACCACTTCTTGAGAAGACAAAGAACCCACTGCATAGTAGCATTTGGGCTCACTCTTGTGAAGGCCCCATCCGAGACTAGAGGTCTCACCTCTGAATCATCCTAATCTACATTTCTTCTCCTCATCCCCCACTCCTTCCCCTTCATGCAGATCACCTGAAACTCACATAAGAATATATGTATGGTTTGATGTGAATGATTATCATTGAGTATTATGTTTGGTATCATTTGAAATGTCTCAAGAATGAGTGGTACAAATGTCTCATTCCCAAAGTATAAAACAAAAGGAAATAAGGTTTTTTAGAAGTTTAGAGAAACTGACACACAAAGGAAGGTGGACTCTATGCAAATGGCCTTTCTCCCCTACCCCCAAAATAAGGTGTAACCTGAATGCAAATTACCATTGAAAAGAAGTTCTGGCTATTTAATGGAATGCAGCAAGGAATCGTGGCTCTTTCTGTATCTCAGATCAGCCCGTGAGGTTAGCTCATGTAGTTCTTAAATGTTGGGTTTGCATCTATTTCTCTTATCCTAAAGCATTTGATGTTTTGTATTGATGATCTTTGAACTGATTATGAAATTTGCATAATACTTTTACCTGACATATTAAATTGTTATATTTGATTATTCTAACAGACTTTGACTTTATTTTCATTGGAGTTAAAAGGAATAGTCAAACATTAACGTTTATTTAATGATGCACAGATATCATTGAAAAACTTTTTCATTTTATGGAGTCAGATGAAACGAGTTAATACATAAGATAAAATGTATTGCATTTAATTGAAAATCTCTTTGCCATGACGGAACACGCGTGAGACCTTCACCTCTAATCGATACCGCCATTGGATCGAATTAGACGGCCTTACAGGGGAGTGTAGCCTCCCACAACGTAAAACCCAATTTGGGAGTTGTTCCTCCTCATGAGACAGTGGAATACCCTTCCCACTGAACAAATCTTATGTACAGATTTTCACACTTTCTCATGCCTAACAAAGAGCTGGTTGCCAAGTAAGCAAGTTTGCACACAGCTTTAAGATAATGTATCTGTGCGTTGTGTATGAATGAGTGTCTAGAGTTGGATTGTGCTTAAGATGCTGCTAAATTGTTTAAGTGTGTTTGCTGGGGAGGGGTGAGAGTAAATGGGCTGATGGCCTCCCTGTTTCTGTTTTGCTAATATGTTTGTTTGTAATTACGATGGACATAATTTTATCCATAATCCTGTGAAATTTCTATTTTAAAAGTTATTTTTTTTAAATTTGTCATACCTGCCCATGGGACTACAGGTGGAAATTAGCAATTGTTGCTATAACCTGGCCCAAGACATATTATTTTGTTTAACAAGTTTAATGTTTATTTGTGCATTGTCCCTGTTTCAAATAAAACAATTTCCATTCCATTTCATAAAAAATTAAGAAAAACAGAGGCATAATAAAAACAAGTCATTTCAATTAAGATATTAATCGTGCTTCGTACATGAATTTTATGTTACTCTGAACACAAAGAAATAACAGAGCTTGTAATTTAAAAGGAACCTTTATATAAACTAAAAATAACAGCGCAAAAGATCAAACGATGCAGACAGCTCATGGTTATCTTTTCTTTTATTTCTTGTTACAGTATTGTAAATTAAACTTTATTTTCCAAAAATTCAGACCATCCACACCCGAACAGAGGGGCGTGGCCTGCAGTATGTCAGTCAAATGTGGGAGGGGTTTCAAGGCTCTTACACTCAGTTTAAAAATGAAACCGTATCAGTTCACTGCTCTCGACATCCACACTGCAATCGGTGCAGAACTGAACCAAAGCAAAACACCACCATAACTAAACCAGAAAAGCGTTTTCCTTTCATCTCAGTTTCTTCAATCCGACATCAATGATCCTACCTCTTGAGGCATATACAAGTTCCCACCGAGATTTCCTGAACAACATGACAGATTTAACAGAATTAAGAAGTAAATTACTTAGTCATTTATTTATGGTCAAAATACATGTAGTGAAATGTTTCCCCAGTCTCTTGGCGAAACGGGCTTGGGATTCGTTACTCCACTGGCGCACTCAGTAAAAAGCTGATGGTTGCAAAATGAACCAAAAACCATTAAACAGTTATAATACTTAATTATAAAAAGAAATGCCGGTATCACTTAACAGTGAATCCAAAAGAATTTGGCAGCAAATGATGAGGTTTAAAGTCAGACTGCACAAACCACTGATACACATGCATACTCTGCTCATTCGCACAAACGCATTCACACTCATGGTAATGGACACGTCCTGGGTAAGGGATGACAGTTTCCTGTTTGGAAGGGCTTCATTATGCGGCACGTTGTGATTGGCCATGAGGACTGGAGGAGGTCAAATAAAAAGTAGCCCCTATTTTGTTTCTTCTATTCTTTAGACGCTCCCTAGTCCTCGCCAGCTTTCATCCCTCGCACAGACCCTTGGCTACGCATCTGAAAATTAAAATAAACAGATTTTTAATAACAACGACACATAGAAGAACACTTCCATTCAAAATTTGGGGGTCAGTAAGGTTTTTTTATGAAAGAAATGAATACTTTTATTCAGCATAGACCGTAGAGACATTTATCATTTAACAAAAAAAAAATCTATTTCAAATGAAAGCTGTTCCTTTGAACTTTCTGTTCATTAAAGAATCCTAAAAATGTATCAGTTTCCACAAAAATAATTATTTATTAAGCACACCTGTTTTCAACACTGATAAAAAGAAGAAAGGTTTCCGTAACATTTAATTAGTTAATATTAGTAAATGCATTAACTAACATTAACTTACAATGAGCAATATATTTGTAAAGCATTTATTAATCTTTGTTAACATTAGTTAATAAAAATACAACTGTTCTTTGTTAGTTCATGTTAGCTCAGGTCTATTGATTAATATTAACAAATACAACTTTAAACTTGTAAAAAGTAATACAAAAATAAATGAACACGAATTAAGAATAATGCATTCTTCAAAAGCATTTTTCATTGTTTGTTCATGTTAACTAATATAGTTATTTGATGTTAAATAATGAAACCTTATTGTAAAGTGTTAACGGTTACCTATGTTTCTTGAGCATCAAATCAGCATATTAGAATGATTTCTGAAGGATCATGTGACACTGAAGACTGGAGTAATGATGCTGAAAATTCAGCTCTGACATCACAGGAATAAATTACATTTTTAAATATATTCAAATAGAAAACAATGCAGCCTTAGTGAGCAGAAGATACTTTTTTTTTTCAAACACATAAAAAAAATCTAACCAACCCCAAACCTTTTCCGCAATAGTGCAAGTCTAGCTTTATGTCACAAAACTAATAAGACTATATCTGCTAATATAGTAATATTAGTGAAATTCTCCATAATCATCTCAACAAATCAGAGTCCTGCAAGCATTCGGTTGCTGTAGGCAGAACTGCGTTGCATGGTTTCTACAGAAACACATACCTGGTCCAGCTCCCTCTGCGTCTCTTCCTCCATCCTACGAATGTCATCCATAGTGAGGTCCACCCAGCGGTCCAGCCAACAAAAGAGCTGCCGGTGGAAATTAGTGAAGAGCCTTTTCTCCTGCTACTCAGACAGAGAGAGATGAGGTTGATGTTACTGCAAGTACAACAAAGACTTATCAACACCTGACAGCAGTGGTCAAATCTTCATGTAACGAAATACATCAAACCAGAATACATTTACATTTAATCTATTCACTAAGCAGCGTTACAGAATTGCGAAGTACAAATGTTAGTACACAGACCCCAGAAAGATAAAGCAGAGGGATATTTTTAATAGAGTATGAGTGTAAGTTGAGCCTCTGTGTAGGTAATGAGGAACTATATAACAGTGCTAATGGATCACCTTATGAATGAAGTTCTCCACACGTCCCTGCAGACCCCACCAGCGAAAATGAACCGTCACCAGCTTATACGCGGTCATATAGGGACAGTTACCATTATGAAGCTCTTTCTGGAAGAGACGGAGAGATGGATGCATTAGGAACAGATATTGTAGATAATCACTCTTTTGGATAGTACAATAAAATATTGCTTTTAAATTAATGTAAACAGAAACTGTGCATAAAAGACTGTGAACTCAAATTTCTATGACAGAGGCAACATTAGCTTTGTTCTCTAAAAAAAAAAAAAAAAAAAAAAAAAACCAGAATGGCAGACAAAGTGAGAAAAATGTTGATTTAAAAAAACTCACCCCCATGTTGTTCCAAACCCATAAGACCTTCGTTCATCTTTGGAACACAAATGAAGATATTTTTGATTAAATCTTTTCCATCTCAGAAGAGTTTTCTGAACCAGCTGATCACGTGGTAAACAGTGCAGCGCTTCTGGGTTCCACGTCAGGAAGTCGAAACTCGTTGCTTAACATTACGGTTGAACCACTAGAGTCACATGGACTATTTTAACTGTCTTTCCTACCTTTCTGGTCCTTGAAAGTTGCAATGATGTTGCAGTCTATGGCTGCTTCAGAAAGCTCTCGGATTTCATCAAAAATACCTTCATTTGTGTTCTGAAGATGAACGAAGGTCTTACGGGTTTGGAACAACAAGAGGGTGAGTAATTAATGACAGAAACTTCATTTTTGGGTGAATTTACACTTTAAGACTGTGTATTAATAACAATAAAAATGTAGTGATAAAAACCACTAAAAAAGGAAAGAAAATTTTAAAGTTTACGGAGTTTTCAGTGACATATAATGAATATAATGTATAATAATGCAATATTTGTGGGTTCTAATAATAAAAAAATATATTATTAATAAAATAATAATATTATTTTAATAATAAAGAAGTAATAATAATAAAAAACTCTTCTTTATTTTGGCTTAAAATATTGCGGTAGTATCGTATCGTGAGCTCAGTATAGCGATTTATTTAAACGTGACATGAGTGTACCCCTAATATGTATGTGTGTGTGTGTGTGTGTGTGTGTACCTTCCATTCAGGTCCTAAAGGTCCTCTCCCAGTTTTCTCCGAGTGGTAGACGGCGGGGTCCTCTTCTGGTTTGTAGTCCTGAGTGATGAATGAAACCATGATGGAGGCATAAAGCAATGGGAGTGTATGAGGAAAGAAGAGGACAAATATTAAAGCAAAACAGCAGATCAACAGATGATTCTGAGCTTATAAGGTACTGCCGAATTTTAAGCACAAAATGAGGTAGAATAAGTTTAACACTGACTGTATATCATTAATACAAATGCTAGACAATTTCACACAAAGACAGAAATGCATTTTTCTAATTCAACTCACCACATCATCCACCTGAGAGCGATCAGCTATATCGATCGGCACAATCTCAATGTCCTCCCATTCCTCAGGAGGAAGACCATGAGGCTGCATAAGTGGAAGATTGAAACATTAGAATGAAGACATAGTTTCAGTGGGGTTCAGTTTGTATGAACAAATAACTAAAGTCAAGCCCTGAATAATGTCTCTAACCATAGCGACAGTGGCTAAAAGTAATAAAGCTGGTGACGCCCATTACACCGGAAAGTCTTATCAAAATCTACATGTTATTTAATAAACAAATCTGATTGAGGCGCAAGTTCATCCATCACAACAGCAGGTTTTTATTAATTATAATTAACTGATTACGCTGCATTGCACCCAGACCAATAAACTGGGGGGAGACGCTCTGGTTGAAAGACTCCACCTGCAGCACAATTATTGGGCACCTCGAAAAGGCACAGATGAACTGTAGACAAACACTCACATTCTCAGTTGTTCCTATGTCTGGTTTATGCCAGGTTTCAATCTTAATGAAGAAATCATCTTTCATGTACTCATTCTGAAAAGGAAAAACCACAAGAGAGCATCACAAATGGAATCCTTTTTTATTTCATACACAGAGTTTGTATAATCAACAGCGAGACATGATGACTAAACTATGATTGAGCAAGGACGACCTGTAAGCAGTGATGATCTCAAAAATACACTTACTGTAACAACTGCAGTTTTCCATAATCGATTCAGTTTTGGGAAAGAAAAGAACAGATTTTTTTGTATAGATCAGTCATTTTCATCACTCAATGCATTAAATGCAAAAGCAAAAAAGGGTTAAATCATACAATCCCATTTGTATTTAATCACTTATTCACACATGCACAAGTAATTAGTGTTTACTAACTAGTGCGACAGTATGGGTAGGCGTTCCAGGCCTTCTCATGAAACACCAGGGCTCCTTCAGGGGCAAACATCTGAATAAAACCGGGAACCTTGCTGTAAAAGACATATCAATATTCAAAATATTAGGGGAGACTAAATGCATCTCAATTACACAAATGCTTGTTTTCTATAGCAGTGTTTTTCTATGTTGGAATATTTTTGTGAAATGTATCCTTTAAACATGATATTTTTGTTTGATACACAAGCGAACAATTCAAAAACCTTGAGACCAGATTTTATGATATAATTTTATGCTGTTTCGTAAACTGTTTTGCATTTCATGATTGTTTTATTGCTTAAATATTGCTGAAATCATATTATAGGCTATTTCACTGGATCCTTGACCATGTAGTGTGACAAAATGCCGCGTTACTAAGGATACGTTTACACGACAACAATGAACTAAAAACAGAAAAAATTTCCCTTTGTGTTTCCGAAAAGTTTGCCGTAAAGACAACAACGTTTTCAAAAAGATCCCCATTCACACGGATCCACGTAAACGATTAAAAACGCTGCATTATGCTGCCAGGCCAGTAGTTAGCGATGTCACTTTGTAAAGAAAAACTACGCACCTGTAGATAGAACACGTAATAAATTTGCGTGTGACGTCACCATTTTCACAAATTCACATTTTTGTAGTTTACCCAGAGATCCATAATGGTGCTGTTTTCAAAAACGTGCATTTTGAAACCCGTTTTTTTTTTAAGTTTGAGTTTTCAGGCCCCCAAAACACTGACGTATAAATAAACTGACAAAACGCATAAAAAGTTTTACATTTTTAGTAGAGCTGTCAAATGAATAATCACGATTAAACACATCCAAAATAAAAGTTTTTTTACATAATATATGTGAGTGCACTGTGTATAATTATTTTGTATATATATATATATATAAATACACACACATGCATGTATATTTAAGAAAAAAATATTATTTATATATAAAATATTTACATTTGTATATAATATAAATTATATATAAATCTATATACAGTATATACATGAAAATATTTCTTAAATATATACAAGCATGTGTGTGTATTTATATATATAAAATAATTATACACAGTGCACCCACATATATTATGTAAAAAAAACTTTTATTTTGGATGTGATTAATCACGATTGATCATTTGACAGGCCTAATTTTTAGTTGAAAGTGTCGTGTAAAATAAACTGTATATTTTTTCCCCTAGTAAATGTCCAAATGTTTTTTAGCCAAGAAAGAAAGTAAAAAATGTGACAACTAGTATTAACCTCCCATATACACTACTGTTCAAAAATGTCTTAGTGTTTTTGAAAGAAGGCCTTTATGCTCACCAAGGCTGCATTTATTTGATCAATAACAGTAATATAGTGAAATATTTCAAAAATGTTCCCCCCAAGAATTTTTTTATTTCTCTGATCTACATATGTGCATTTTAATAAAATTGGATAACAATAGCTTTAAAACTATGTCAGTGGGCAGTAGATTATTTGTCAATACATGCTCGCTCAATCTTCACCGTCACTCTTTCTTTTTCTCTCAGTCTCTCAGTCTCCTTATCTTGCCCTGTCTCTTCCCCTCCTAAAGCTGAGCTTTGACTGATAGTCTTTTCATTTTCATCTGTGTCAGTGAAGAAAGTAAACATGTTTTATGAATCAATTTCTTAGCAAGTTAATTTAGGAATGCTAGGTAACTAAGTTTATTAAATTCAATCACAATATGTAGCCTACACATTCATTATTAATTTTATGCCTAATATGATAAAAACGGTTTTCTTGTCGTACTTGTTTCTTGTCGACTCACATTGACAGTTACTATAATTATTACATTACATGAATTCTACGTAAATTATATAGGGGTATTTTCAATTCAAAATGGCCAAATTAGACAAAAGTTTATTAGTTTGCCTGATTATTTTTGTCGGTCATTAAGCATTTATATCCTAAAACAGCTGTCAAATATGAAATGTTTAGTTTAGCTACTTACATCTCGTACTTTATGACAGTTAACAGCTGAAACGTCGCGCTGCAATTCACGCTCAGCAGCTTATGTCAACATAAAGCCCGCCTACTTTGATTTGATGGGTCATCTCAAATATTTTGACATAGACGAGCGGTGACAGACCAATGAGGCAGCTCAGATGAGACGATCTTGGTGCTGTGTGCAATATCCTTGCAGCACTAAAGCAGAGTTAATACTATATTAGGCAATTATTTCACAACCTTTATTATATACACAAAAATACAGAGGTCCGAACCTCGGTGACCTCATAGCTGGCAACAGCTGTCTCACATGATTCTTCAGAAATCATTCTAATAGGAATATTGCTGATTGCTGCTCAAGTTTCTGTGGAAAAAATTCTTCAGAAAACATTTTTCAGGATTTTTTTAATGAATTTTTCCACTGGCTCCCTGTCAAGCATAGGATTGATTTTAAATGGGTCATGAACTGAGAAATCAAAATGTCCTTGATCTTTTGACATATAAGATGTCATTGTACTATAAAAACATCCTGCATGTTTCAGAGCTCAAAACTTTCTCAGTCTAAAAATAGCTTATATTGAAGCCAATCTGCCAAAACGAAAGGTATTTTTTATTTAAAATGTGATTAAATTATATATATAAAGCGATCAAAGAACGCTCCCTTTACAATCACTCGAGCTGTCAATCAAACAGCATGAGTTTATCAGTGGCCTTTCGCCAAAACTCCCGTTATAGTCAACGAATCTCTTATTTACATTGTGTTTAAACTGTTAGTTATAATGAAAGCGTTTGTTAGTGTGCAGAAATCGAGATGCAATGACGAGATCACTGCATTCATGCGCTCAACATGTCTGTGATCGGCTACAATGTTCATCACTGCAACCTTAATGCCACAATCTAAATAAAATGCTATAGATCTAAATATAATGCTATAATCAACACTTTCCACGATTAGTTAACCTTGAGAGCTGTAATAGTAAAAACTTGCTAAAAGTTTTCAAGAGAGTTCCACATGTAATACTTAGCTATTGCATATGCAAAGATGTTAGCCAATCACAGCAGTGGGCGTTTAAGCTGAAGTCTCACAACAGACACGCCCCTTCAAACAGAGCCTTCAAATACAAGTCAATGGCTATTGGCTACCGTCAACTGTCTGATTAGCAACATTCGTTACAAATATCTTCTTTCATGTTCAACAGAAGAAAAACTCATACAGGTTTGGGACAACATGAGGGTGAGTAAATGATGACAATTTTCATTTTTGGGTGAACTATCCCTTTAAGTACGTTATTTTGGGTGTCTCTTGTATATTGTTAATTGCCTTTTATTTTGTTTTTATTTCTCTATCTTGTTCGCTTTTAATTCATAGTGATTCTTTTATTCATTGTAATGTAAAGCCCTTTGGTAAACCTTGGGTTGTGTTTAAATGTGCTCTATAAATAAATATTAATTGATTGAACATTTATAGAAAGTTCAAAACAACAGCATTTATTTGAAACAGAAATGTTGGTAACAAAGTAAAAGCTCTCACGGTCGCCTTTGATCAATTGAATGCATCTTTGCTGAATAAAACCATTTTTAAAAAATCTTTCTGCTAACAAACTTTTGAACTAGAATAGTAAGTAAAAACTAGAACAGTAAGTGTGACTGCTAAGAGTGGGAGTCCCTGCCAGAGGTTCCTACAACAATTCTGTGCTCACAGTCGTGTTGACATGATCAAAGCTTTTACACATGCTCTCACCTGTGTATGTGGTAGATCTTGTGGGTGTACTGGCCCTTCTCGCCATCCTTCTCGTAAGGTTCATTTCGGAGGACCTCAATCCCTTCTCCTCCACCTGTGTTGTTCTTACTGGCCTCTGCAACCGAGTACAGTTGGCCAACCTGGTACTGAGAGGGGGGTAAGAGGGTATTACATAAATAAATAACTAATGGCAACTGTTCACCACACAATAGAGACAAACAATGTAATGGAGAAGAGGTCCTGCTGACTCCATTTAAGTGAAGGGAGCTGTCTAAATATTTGCTTGAGCAATAACAGAAGCACAGATTCCCACTGATCACAGAAGACAGAGCAGCCGGCTATTGTAATAGCAATGACTCTTTCTCTTACCTCTTCTACTGAACATGGCAACAGCACCTGGCTGAAAGGAGAATTGAATAGAGGTTAGAATTAAAAGATAAGAACATTTATTAATATCTCATATCATGGAGACTGCATCGCGCTGCGATTGTATAACGGGCGTGTCGTTAGCTGGCCCCGCATTATTGTACGATAAACCAGTGTTTTAACATCCAACGGAGTCTGAACTCAAAACGATACTATTAAATGCCCATCTTATCATGCACTTGTAAATAGCGGCGCTGGTGGGAACGCCGTCCATAAAACACACTGTAATGCTGTATCAAGCAGGCTAAGCGGTTAGCGCCGACATATCACGGGCTTAAAATTCACTATTTATTATGCCATATGGGAATATGCTTTAAAAAAGACAGGCGAGTGCTCCAAGATATAACGCAACTGAATCTAGTAAATGCATTCTGTAAAAGCCACTCACTATTGCTTGACGAGTACCATCCCGAATCTGGACAGAACGGTACATTCAACAACAGATTGCGGTCGCCGGAAATGAGCCGCGCGCGTCATCAGTGACAGGGGCAGGCCAGGGGTCTGAGGACAGAGACCATGATGGGAAGGGAATGTCGAGGGATAGTCTCTCTCACAATAAACATATATTTGTCATAATAAGAAAAACTGCTAATAAATATACATTTGTATTATTGTATTGTCCACAATTTTTTTGAAGAGAGACAATCATTATGCAGTACGTTTTTGAGCTTCTGCGAGAGGTTTGTTCTTGCGCGTCAAGCAGTTTCGGTTGAGCTTCTGTTTATGTTCGCTGATCAATGTTTTATATGTGAATAAACGCCTAAATTAAATCTGTTCATCATATAAAGTGATCGTCTCTTCAAAAAGATTTGATTAAACCACTCAATTTATATGGATTAGTTTTACAATCTCTTTATGAACTTTAGTGTCAAAGTGGTAGCTGGTGCGTATAGGCTGTCAACGGAGGGACAGAAAGCTCTCAGATTTTGAGCGAACTCACACTTTAAGAGGATAGTTCACCCAAATAAGTATAATTATATATATATATATATATCAAAACCTTTCATCAAAGTTATACATGAAACAATACCCGTTCTTGTATTAGGACAACTTTGATGAACTTTTTTGATCCACTTCAAAAGTTGACTATATATATATATATTGAAGAATGTTGTTAAGAAAATAGTTTTAGCAACCATTGACTTCCATTGTATGGACCAAAAAAAAGGAAGACATTTTTCAAAATGTTCCATGGAAGGAAGTCATACGTTTTGGAATGACATGCGGATGAGACTGTATATAAGCATCTCAGCTACTAATTATAATTCAGTTAATTTGTTTCTATTTGGTTTGTTTTTATTATTACTATTTGGTTTGTCTCTTTCACCCAGACTGCTGTAACCACACTTTGGCATCAATAAAATGTTATTTTACCTTTACGTTTTGTAAGCTATTTATTTCATACAGCCTTTATGTATTTCACTGTTGAGAAACTATATAATGATGTATAACTGTATGATATCATTGGAAATAGAGTGAGCCTAGTCCTACTATATGACATGTTTAGAGTTAATCAATTTTAGCCATGCATTTATATACATAAGAAACTTTAAGTAAGAAACATAAAAAAACTATTGTAACAATTCTTTAATTTTTTTATAGTTTATTGAAAATGTTAAGAAACCAACCTTATAAAGTTAACAGTCTTAATGGACTCTTTCATATGGAATATCACACAATATTAATGCCTACAACTGGAATATACACATTTCAACAGTCAGTATGTTGAACTTCTATTAATTTCTTAACATGCAAATGAAACATTAAATAACATTATTTTACATTAACATGTACTTTAACAGTAGATATTCCTGACAAAAATACAAACTGCAATACTGGCAAAACTATTATATATTCAACAATATTATAATATTGTACTCAAAAACATATACAAAAAAAAGTAATCTAAATGCAGCATACAGTACCACAGGGAAAAAAAATCAGTAGTGCTCCACCATAATGTCCAAATAAATGGTCCAAAAATTCTTATATAATAAATTATGTAAATTGAATTACAAAGGAACTTAACCAAAAATCAATTACATTGCCCATCTCATACCTAATCCACCTCCTCAATAGTGGGCCCCTGAGCACCAGCCCCTGAGCAGGCACGTGCCTGATCCCCACAGCTTCCTGTTGCCTTCCCACCCTGATAAAGCTTAGTGATGATTGGGTTGCAGACTTTCTCCAACTCCTTCACCTGATGTTCATACTCCTCTTTATCAGCCAGCTGGTTGTTCTCTAGCCAGCTGATGGTGGCGTTGCATTTCTCAATAACTTTCTTCTTGTCATCCTCGCTGATCTTGTTTTTCAGGTTCTCATCTTCCACACTGCTCTTCAAGTTGAAGGCGTAAGACTCCAGGGAGTTTTTGGCAGCAATCTTCTCTCTTTGCAGATCATCTTCAGCTTTGTACTTGTCTGCATCCTGCACCATTCTCTCAATCTCCTCTTTGCTCAGTCTGCCCTTGTCATTGGTGATGGTGATCTTGTTCTCTTTTCCAGTGCTTTTGTCCACCGCTGACACATTAAGGATTCCATTGGCGTCAATGTCAAAGGTCACTTCAATCTGCGGGACTCCACGTGGTGCGGGTGGAATTCCTGTGAGCTGAAATTTACCCAGCAGGTTATTGTTTTTTGTCATGGCCCTCTCTCCCTCATACACCTGGATCAGGACACCGGGCTGGTTGTCTGAGTAGGTGGTGAAGGTCTGGGTCTGTTTGGTGGGAATGGTGGTGTTGCGTTTGATGAGGGCTGTCATGACTCCACCTGCAGTCTCGATCCCCAAAGACAGTGGGGCAACATCCAGCAGCAGCAGGTCCTGGACATTTCCAGATGTGTCATCCATGAGGATGGCGGCTTGCACCGCTGCACCATAAGCCACTGCCTCATCTGGGTTGATGCTCTTGTTCAAGTCCCTGCCGTTGAAGAAATCCTGCAGAAGCTTCTGGATCTTTGGGATTCTTGTGGATCCACCAACCAGAACGACGTCATGGATCTGAGACTTGTCCATCTTGGCGTCTCTCAGGGCTTTCTCCACAGGCTCAAGGGTTCCCCTGAAGAGGTCTGAGCACATCTCTTCAAAGCGTGCTCTGGTGATGGAAGTGTAGAAGTCGATGCCCTCGTACAGAGAGTCGATCTCAATGCTGGCCTGAGAGCTGGAGGAAAGGGTTCTCTTGGCTCGCTCGCACGCTGTTCGCAGCCTCCTCAGTGCCCTCTTGTTCTGACTGATGTCCTTCTTGTACTTCCTCTTGAATTCTTCTACAAAGTAATTCACCATGCGGTTGTCAAAGTCCTCGCCACCCAGATGAGTGTCTCCGGCTGTGGCCTTCACCTCAAAGATGCCATCTTCAATGGTCAGGATGGACACGTCAAAGGTGCCTCCACCCAGGTCAAAGATCAGGACGTTGCGTTCTGCTCCTTTGCCTTTGTCAAGGCCGTAGGCGATGGCTGCAGCCAGGGGCGTCGCACCCGTGGGGGATGTGGGTGTTTTAACACCCACACTTTTGCCGGTGAGAGGGTTCAACACCCGCTCTTTTTCTGCAGTTTTTCCGCAGTTTTGCACAAACGCCTCACTACAGTCGATCCTCCGTTTCTCTGGCCGCTCTGTGTGCGCGCTCGCTGCGGCTCCTCCTCTCCCCTCCCTCTCAAACATGACACCGGCTCTGAGTGTGACCGGCTGATGATTGGCTGTTCTGCCTTAAGTCCCGCCTCTCTTGGTGTGATTTTTCAGTCACTCGTGCTGAGGAGGCGGGAACTTATGGTTATGGTTATTTACATCTCCCTTTTCCAGGTACTTTGAATGAGTGTTTATGCTTGCGAGGTTTTTAAATAAGCTTGATATGTGTTTGGGATTGGGAAGATGTTACGTTTATGTTTTGTTGACATGTCGAGTGTTTTCGGTATTATATTTCGTTTTTTAGACTAAACAGCACAATACTTTATTTAAGTAGGCATTCTGTTTGTGCTGCGTGATTTAAAGAAAAGTGCGCTCTTTTGCTCACGCGATCATTCAGCATGGTGATCTGGTGTTTTCTCCTAAATAAAACTCAAGGGTTTATTTCTTGCAAGTGAAGAAATTAATTTAGGACAAAAGTATTGTAATTTTCCTATTCTATAGCGTAATATAAAATTTACTTTGAAATATTCATTTTCATTTCTACAGTAGGCTAGCATACATTTAGGCTATATGGATTTTCCATCATAGGAATAATTATATAAATCATTATTATATTATTATAATAAATGTTTGGCATTCTAAAACACCATTGATAATGTAATGTAGACTGAGACTCTATATCATAACTAAAAATAAGTTTGAACCCTCTTTAGGTACAAGTCAATGCTTTTTCTTTGTTCAATGTGCACAGTTCATGGGTCGAAGCCAGTTGAAGCTCTTAATTTTGAGCTCTCAGAGTGCAGCAGATGGATGCATTTAACCTTAAAATTTACAAAATTTTCTTTCGGAGGAGCATGCCCCCCAACCCCCCTAGAGGGGCCGAGGTCCACACAACAGTTTTACAAAATCCAATGACAAAGAACGATCATTTATGACCTTTACCCCAGCATAATGTTAATGCCAAATTTTAATGTCCTTGGACAAACTACATTTGTCCTGCCTAAGGAGGGGCCAACATTACATTGTGCCCTCTGAATTCTTAATCAGGGCCCTGATCACATCCATCCCCCGCACTTTTAAAAAGCTTGCTACGCCCCTGGCTGCAGCCGTGGGCTCGTTGATGATTCTGAGGACATTGAGCCCAGCGATCACTCCAGCGTCTTTAGTGGCTTACCTCTGCGAGTCATTGAAATAGGCAGGAACTGTGACAACTGCATTTGTGACCTTCTGCCCCAGATAAGCTTCAGCAATCTCCTTCATCTTCACCAGGACCATAGAGGAAATTTCTTCAGGATTAAACGTCTTGTTTTCTCCTTTGTATTTGACTTGAACCTTTGGCTTTCCGCTATCACTGACGACTTGGAAGGACCAGTGCTTCATGTCAGACTGCACTACTGGGTCATCAAATTTCCTGCCAATCAGCCTCTTGGCATCAAACACGGTGTTGTTGGGGTTCATGGCCACCTGGTTTTTAGCTGGATCTCCAATGAGCCTCTCTGTGTCAGTGAAGGCAACATAGCTGGGTGTTGTTCTGTTCCCCTGGTCATTGGCGATGATCTCCACTTTTCCATGCTGAAACACCCCCACACAGGAGTAGGTGGTGCCCAGGTCAATTCCAATGGCTACTCCTTTTGCTGATGAAATTTTTTTTTCACAGGTAGTTAACAGATTACTATAAAGAAAATAGAAATCAAATAAATGTTTTTTATTAAATAAAACATTTAGATATTGTACAAAAAAGCAGCAGGCAAAAATAAATGAACAGCCATATGAAACAGGAACATCTCAGGGAGGTTAAATAAACAAATACCTGTAGGCTACATGTAAATAAAAACTGTTAATTATTTTAAAGAGCACTAATTACTGTTAATAATGT